TGTTTCCCAACCCTCTCCGTGTAACGCATTCCCGTTCTATTTCCATTTTGCTCCCGGCCATACAATAAGGTTTCGGAATTAAAGGCACAAAGGCTGTAAAGAATAATCAACGCAGTCAACGTTAAATGTATGCAAGTAGATACTATTTATAATTGTTCTCAGAAATTATTTGTTGTTCTAAATATTAGTAAAGTAACGATGAATCATTTAAAATGTAGGTGATATTATCATAAATGTTGTCGCTGTTTCAAAACTTAATATACGAAAGTAGCACTTAGTAATTACGGACATTTGAACAGAATGCCGTAATGAAAATTTATTTCGTTTGGTCATTGTCACTGTGAAATTGCTTTTATGAGGAACTCAGTGGCACATTGCAAAAATATTTTCAAGATGTCTTTCTAAAAAATGTTTTATGTTGGAAAAGTGGAAATAAATATTTTCTTCTAAATCATAGTCTTAAACAAATTTTATAAAGTTTTCCTTGTACAAACTAACTAAATGTAATTGATTTGAAAATTTTGGAAAAATCTTTTTTGCAAAAAAACAATAAACTTAAAAAAAATTTGGTGGCCTCGTTGCTATTACTAGGCAACGCTAATTAATTCAGACCGAATTAATGCGGGAAATACCGCACAGCTACTAACTCCATACATTCCTCTATTGACTCCATTAGGAATATGGTGAAAGTTATTTTTTTAGGGCTATGTTAATTCAATACAAAATTAGGCAAATGTGCTTTACAGCAGTCGTATCTATTGTCATATACCTATACGTATATCTCTCTGCGAAATCCGGGAACTATTTGATTGATTGGATAGATGTTTCGTACACTATTGATCTTTGAATCGTAACTTCACAATGACCTGACACAAACCTGAATTCTAAAACCAAATTCCAAAATACCAGAAGTAATTATAAAGAATATTTTTGTTGTTAATTTATATCAAGTATGTTGTAGGGAAAATCTTTTTTAATCTTTGAACGTACATTAAATAAATTCGTTGAATTTTAAAACTCAGAAAAAATATTATTAAATCGTTGTACGGGGAAACTTTCTCCACATTACACCTCTTTGTGGCTCGTATGTCTAAAGCTTTGAAACTTTGAATGGGTTAAAAACTTGACGCCGCTCCGCGAAAGTCACTCCGCAATAAAATAGAATTTTCAATATTCTCGTCACAAAGGCACTTTGTGTTAACGTGTGAATGCTATGCCTGGTTTTGTGTTATTTTAATGGAATAACATTATAAAGGTAATATTTTAAACAGTCTTATGAGTATCTATTGTTGAAGTTAGTTAAGATATTTAATAACTTTTATTTAAAATAAAACCCGATACGCTGCATTAAGCATTTGTGATGATGGCTGCATGTTTATATATATAAAAAAATCAGTGGTGCTACAACCTCTTTTGGTCTGGGCCTAATATTTCTGAATCTGTTTCAAGATCATTTTTAAATCTAATAGGCAAGTATCAGTAGTGATCAGCCTCCAGTGCTTGAAATACACCGTTTCATCACGATGCTCTCCTTCATCGTTCGAGCGAATGTTAAAGGCGCACATAGAAAGAAAGTCCTGTGGTGCAGAGCCTGGGATCGAACCTACGACCTCAGGGATGAGAGTCGCACGCTGAAGCCTCTAGGCCAACACTGCTCTGTTTATATATTTACCTATTAAAAAAACGAACAATTCGAAAGGATAACGTATATTACTGAAAATATAAACCAATTTTAATAGAATCAATGTTATCAAATAAATTCGGATATTAAATAAAAGCATTTTCTATGAAGATACTAAAAAAACTATTTATATACGGAAATCTAACGAATCTTTTATGAAACAACTATTTTCGGGATGAATGAGAATTACCCTAATGGACGTTAAAGCCTTATTGGAGGATTACGGTTTTTCGATATTTTTATAAATAACAAATGTCTCAGAGATTTTGTGAATTTTCAATCAAAGTGAGGGATTATGTTATCATTTCCGATTATAATATATAATCGTATTAGAGTCGACCATTAGATATAAAAGGAATTGTTGATTCTATTTGATTATGTATGTGCGTAGGCCTCAAGCAAATGGGACTTTTATTTCTGTGGTTTTAAAAGACGCCGAGCAAAATAAAATAAAAAGAAGTTAAACTTGTTTAATAATGAATTAGATAAATATAATATAATACATTAATAGTGTACATTAGCCGGGTTGAAAAGTAAAGTATAGAAATAGGATATACCTAAGGCCTAAGCTAACAAGCTAATCTTTATGCTTAAACGCATAGACAATATTAATTTATTATAGAATCAGAATTTATTTATTTTATATAATATGTCAATATTCAATCAATACTATATTCGATAGTTAATTTTAGTCAATTGTCATAACAGTTTATAGTTCTGTTTTCGTGCAATCTATTTTAATCATATTCTTGATAAGTAAAAGGTTTTTAAATTTTAATTGTTATACAAATACAATATAATTGTGAATTTTATAAAATATAAAACCATTGTATATTACTGTAAAGAAAAATAAATTAGTTGTATATTTTTTTAAATATATTTGTTGTGGGGTTTTCGACAAAAAGTTTTAAATGGTACACATACAAATTTTTTAAAGGATATTAACTTTAAATCAACTATGAAACGTCAAGTTATGTAATAACTTACTGTTCATATCCCTATAATGTAATAAAAATATTTTAATATTCTTCTTTCTCGTTAACGGTATATTTTGATTACTCTATTTCAATAGAAGAAATTGTTAGGTCAAGCGTGGCAAACCTTACAAATAGTAAATATCACTACGTCAATGTCAGGGATCAGTTTGTTAAAGCAAATATTATTGTTTCGTTCTTTGTTTAATATTGTCTTATACCAGGTAAATTTTTTATATTCCCAGTTCATCATTTTCATATAAATAACCTTGCTTGTATGTAGGTATGTAAATAAAATCATTTTTATTGTATGTTTATATTGTAAAGTCCGTTTAATTATCAAACAACAAAAGCGGCGTGAAATTGCCGTAACTCACTTGCCCGTGAGTGACTTTTTCAAAGTTAAGTGATGCAGAGCATGTGATATTGTAAACGGAAAAATTTCTCATCTAAATTTTTACCGGTTACGAACTAAATTAAGTATGTGATGTTTTCACGTGAATGCAAGAAGATTGTGAATAATCACTCAACTCTAACGTCATAATATATTGTGTGCCTAAAGTCTAAACATTATATGGATACTTAATCTTTGGAATAGTAATGAGAAGTAAACTCAAAAAATAAGGTCAAATAAAGGTCAAATAAGATACACTCAGCTATTTTAAATAAATATTATAAGAAGCCCCAAATTACGAATGTTAAAAGTTTCGAATTTTACCCAAAGTTCCTACCTCGAATTGGAAAAATTAATTTTTCTCCCAACTTTTCTGTGGAATATAAACTAACATGTACAAATTCATCAGAATGGAAGTTATATTTTTACTTTTCTTGTTGTACGCTTCTTGAATTTCCTATGTATGATATTTCTTATGAAGTGCAAGCTGCTACATAAAGTAAGAAAATTAATTTGGTTACAACAATACACCAATTCATGAACAAAAGCTCATAAATTTTTTGTATTAAAATGTGTGCATAAAAATTATATTAAATTTGCTTAAAATTTTAGACTTTATTTGTTTCACATATATAGAGAAACAGATCACATTGAGATTTGTGTCTATCATCTGTGATATATAAAATTGAGAGGTGAGTAGATTACTGTCAATATATCAAGTACATGTGATGGCTGTGTGTCAAATTACATTTATTTACGTCTTACAAGGCTATATGATCTAGATCATTTCACGGGTTATCGGTTAAATAAGACCAAAGATTTGTGTAAATTGTCAGCTTTGGTGTCAAATTATGTACAACTTTTATTGAATATAATTTCAATAAAACGTCGTATTAATTTATTTGGTGATAAGTTAATTTAAGTACTAAGTAGTACCTTCCTCATAGTAACCATCCACCTCATAACACTTTTCATAACACCTTATAACAAAGTAGGTACTGCCAAATTAAATCAACCGTTATTTTTAAAACTAAGGGAGTTGTTTTCTATGACGTTTTGATTTGATTTTCGATTCGATTCGTGTTCTTGATTTGAAAGTTCGTTTAAAAATCCTGGTCTTTGACCAATCGAATCGTAAACAAATTTTCTATTTAATTAATAAAATGTTTGGTATTTCGATTTGAGTTCACTTTTAGACTACGTCATAATCGTAGTAAATTTAGTAATGAAAATTTTGTTGTTATTGTGTTGATACTTTGATTGTAACTTACAAAGTGGATAAAAATAATTTTCATAAAAAAAATAAAGATATGCCTAATATGATACTGAATATACCTAGCAGTATCATATTAGGCCCTACTCTAAAAAATTGTAAATAAAAATATATGACAATAAAATCGCCCTATATCTTACGGATTGTCAGTGTCCGAATGTCATAATCATTCCCGCCAACACTGAGAGAACGAAATTTAATTATTCCGCTATCGATGTGGTTGTTAAATAAGCTTGCTTTAATTGATAGTAATTTTTACTGAAAATACTTAAGAAATAAATTAAGATGCCTCCTTCCAAATATTATAATTTTAAATGAACGTATTCCTTACAAAGTTAAAATAATTCTTCACCACGCATTCGCCAGTTTCACACAGTACGGACGAATGAATACTTAGACAGTATTTATAAATAACAAAGAAAAGTGTTCAGAACTGTGTTGAAAAAAAATTTGAGTATAAGCTTTGTATTGAAAGTTTTCCATTTTCGTTTTTCGACGGAGCACTATAAATTACAGAAATTTAAAACATTTTGTATGGACTCCTTACATTATTTGAACCCTAAGTTCCCTGTAGTATGTTCGATATTTGAAATATTGAGCTAACTATCCGATTTTTGTTGTGAATTCCCATCGGGTCGTATCTTGGTCGCGGTGTTGTAATCGGTGTCGTCTTGGCAGGATTGACCGCCGCGACGTAGCGGAAATGGATCGGGTCGACCCAGACTTGTTAGATCGTGCTGTGCGGCTCCTACAGCTGCAGAAACTAGACCGCATTTACTCCTACCACACTCGACCAAGGTACGATATCGATGTCGATGTTTCCCATCCCTATTTCTAGTAGTGCGTTTTTCTGTCATCCGCATGTTATTTGTTAAACGTATTTATGATTCTATCATTTATGTGTGAACAGCTTTCTGTTTCTCGACGTGGAATTTATAAATGCTATGGTAAACTTAAATCAAATAAAATATTTTGTCATATTATATATATACTGTTTCCGGTCTTTATTATTATTGTCAAGTTTGTGTTTGCATTAAATAATCCCTGCAAATATAAACAATTATTTTACCAATAGAAAGCACAATCGTTGTAGAAATATTTGTGTGAATATATTCACAGCTTCAGCTTATTAAGATTCATATGACGTTTGCTAATAAATCTTAAAATAAATCAAACATGCTCAATTATACATAAACATACAATTTGTTTTACGCTAATGTAACTTTAACCCGTGCATTACTCACTAATTAATTAGCGAAACGTTTGCTAATTAAAATACAGTCTGACGTTCTGAAACCAATATGTTTCGAGGAACGTGTCTCATCTTATATTCCGTGTAAAACAACACCTGAGAGAAGTGTGGAGGCGGCCTCGTGACATTAGAAAATAGTGAAACCTACTTAATCTATTTACTCTTAATCCACTATACACTAACTCATAAGCACTGAATCAGTCTAAATGAACTCTTTCGTCCCTTTCTGTCAAATTTTGTTTACGTTGTGATAAATAGAGACAAATAACCTACGTTGAAATTATTAGATTTTGCTTTTATTTATAATGAGATTAATTCCCCGAATAATATTTATATTCAATTAATCCGTAGAGAACAAACAAGTCTAAAAGTTAATCGTTAAAGATTTTGTGTTTTAGATTCTATTACGATATATTATGTTTTTTGTACATGTTTCGTAGTTATCGAATGAACTTGTTTGGTAATATTTAGTAGTTGCTTTAAGTTAACTATATATTATATTATTCCCAATCAATCCTTTTTACGTTTAGACATAATACAATTTTACTCGTATCTGATTATAACTTGGATAATTTATAAAGTATATTACCGTGCACTGTATTTAGTTTTTAAGTAATAAATATTTTCGAGTGCCTGTATTTTTGTGTAGAAATGTGACAAAAAGTAATTTAGCAACAAAACTTTTCCATTATGATAACTTCAGTCTAACCAATATTTTAAAGCTAAAGAATTTTTACTAATTTAATTATTCTAAATGTGTTAACATTGTCAACAGGTTTGGAAAACGATCGGAGACTTATTCAAACTGGGGAAAGGAACTTGAAGTAAGTAACTAAAAGTTCATTTATAATTCAGAACTTAGTATATATCTAAGCCAGAGATTCTTGTGCTAAAACCTGCGTGTACTAAATGATTTTTTCTCTCACCTTACGAGCAAGTGTTAATTACGCACCTTTGTGCATTGGTGCATATAGAAACCAGCATGTCTTAGGGCAATATATAACGCCAAGTATTATTAATATTACTCCTGCATGTCGAAATCCAATAAAAAAATCTGTCAAAGTTCGCTTAGTCTAGTTTCGCATTAAAAACTCTGAAGTGATGCCTTACACACATTGATGACCTGTGTCAGGTACACAAGGCTGGTTTTTTGCCTATAAAAATTATCAATAACGAATTTTACTACATTAGATTTATAATATTTTCTTTTATTTATAATATAATTCACTTGTAAGATCGAAGTAACTGAGCTCCTGAAAAATTTACCCGAAACTGATTTCCACGTTCAATTATAACGGAGTGCTCAATTGTTATTACTTTCAATCCAATTCTGGCTAGAATATCCATTAAAGATTATTTTTATTTTCCGCATATTTCGTCATTAGTTGATGTCGTTTCTTTAGTTTCTTATTCTCGTAGAAGAGGAGGAGGCATTTTGGCGTCTATTTAATTTTGCTGAACCACGAGAATTTATTTGTTTAATTAAAAAAGGTTTTTCAATGGGCATTCCAATAAAAGCTTACATCTAGGAACACACAAAAATAACTTATTGTTAATTTTATGTTAGGTTAAATTTACATTAATTAATTCTAGTATATGTTTGACGTAACTTCAAAGGAAACTGAGTATAGCTCACGTTTAGTTTGCCGGTACTAATCAAATTTACTGATTTCGTTGAAACTCTACCTAGAATCTATTACCCTTACTCTGAATTCCATTCATTCAGGTACATTTGGTAATATAATAATATTTAGAATAGAATTTCAATGGGTTTTTGTGTGATGAAATGAATGTGTACGCTCACGACTTTTTCGAAACAGCCCTGCGATTCTGTAACTCACTTTTCGAACTCACACAGCGGTGTATAAACAATAAACTACAAGATCCCACCTTTTCAGAATGCCAAATCATAAAATGACTGCTTCAACTGATTTGAGAGAGACCGCCGATGCGAAAACCACTGTGTGAGTTCGAAAAGTGAGTTACCAGAACTCGCTCTATGAAAATCTATTTGAAGAAATGATTGGTATTTTTCATCTACAATCCAGGCTACGTAAATTACAAAAGCGGCTAATAATACCACGTCATTATTATTTGCGATTTGATCATAGAGTTCTCAGAGCATTTGTTATTGTTATTCTTGTACCAAGGATCAATCTAAAATTCAATTAAGTCTGAAATTGTTAGATTGCGGTAAAACCAGCTTCGTCTAAGCGTTTGTTTATGTGATCTGACAATATAAACTGTATCACAATGAATTTTTGTGGTACATAATTATTTTCACACATTTATTTTTATTTAGCTTGGTACCGTAATAATACATCCCGGACATAACATATTAATTTATGTATTGTATAATATAAACCAAAAGAAAACTCCTAAGGTATCATAGATTCAATAATCAAAACGTCGTATCGTATCGCCTACATTATATTATTATGATAATATATTCTGCATTTTATGGTTTGACGTTAAATGCAATATTGAATCAACTCAATATTAAATTTATGTCAAGTCGATCTTATAGCCAGGGATTTACATGCTATTGACATTAAAGATATTGAATAGATTTTATGTTTTACCTTCTCCGCTCCTAGAAATATGTAAGCAATATATATCGAAAACCACGCTTTTGTAGTTCTTTTGTTTCTGGTATTTACGCAATTGGATTAGCGCTCTTATAAAACCGCTATACACATAAATTAGGGTATTTTGATTAATTTATTTGTAAACAGTTTACAGTAATGATATAAACAAAGCAATAATCGTTCATATATCTGTTGCATGGTCACTCTAGGGTATATAAATATTATTTATCTAATTGAAAATGATCTGGTCTACTACTATTATAATATTGAAAGGGGAAATTTTAAATAATATATATGAACTATTGGTTTCAATGCCCGACTGCGATGGACTTTCTTTCTATGTGCGCATTTAGCATTCGCTCAAACGGAGAAGGAAAACATCGTGAGGAAACCGGCTCTCCCAAACAGTCGGCGTGTGTCAAGCACAGGGGGCTGATCACTTGCCTATTAGATTAACAAATGGTGATTCATTAAACAGATACAGAAATCTGAGGCCTAAACCTAAAAAGGTTGTAGCGCCACGAAATTATTTTTTATTAGATACGTAGATTTAATATGTAAAAAGCCACTGGTCCTCTGTGGCAAAGACTTGCCAGGGATAGGAAGCACTGGAAACAGCTGGAGGAGGCCTTTGTGCCACAAAGGCAAGCTGTACAAGAGGACAGCTGTGTAACTAAACCTTCTTAAATGACTTTTTTATATTCATTTATATTTTGTAAACTTTCTCTTGTATTAGTTGAAATAAAGGCTTTGAAATTTGAACGTAGATTTAATAATGATTGATCACGATGTTATGATACTAATTTGAGATGTCTTAAATTCTATAACTAATCGAATTCCGAGTAGTGGTCAAAATTGCATGAACGAAATTCTGCTAAATAGCTTACTTGTTAATCACTTTGTAGCCTCAAAGACGTTATTGTCGTAGGGGTATTATTAAACTTGTTAATTTCATTAACAACCGCCTTTGTCCTGAGGCGATAATGCAAAATTGTATCACTGAAATGAATATATTTCCTGAGAATGCCACATTTTCTAATTATTTTATTGGTCTAAGATCCCGATATACAACGACCTTCACCGAGATGCTTATTTAATGAAACGTATTTTATATTTAATTAATATGTCAATAAATATAATCCATATGGGTTGCCTAGCAAATTTCAGTCCAGAGTATTTTAATTAATATTAAAAAAAATATATTTTTTTGAATGATTATATTTTCGGTTAGATTAGATTTCGGTATGATTATAAGATATAAGATTCTATACCAATCGAAAGTATGAAGCCCATAGAAGATGCAAACGTTAGGTTGTTTTTAATCAATTAATTATATTTTTTATGTGACACTAAAGTATATATTATACATCTTTAGTAAAAAAGAAAGTTATAGTGATACATATATAATACTACCCTGATTAAAAATATTGATTGAAAAAAATTAAAAAAATTTACTACATGCAAATTATAAAAAAATATTTTTTTTTAAATATTAATTAAACATACTCTGGACTGAAATTTGCTAGGCAACCCATATGGATTATATTTATTGACATATTAATTAAATATAAAATACGTTTCATTAAATAAGCATCTCGGTGAAGGTCGTTGTATATCGGGATCTTATACTATATTGAATCATTAGGCCTACAACGCACTAGCGGCTGGCCGCGATGCGGTGTGCCGCTGCGGTAGGCCGCACATCGATTATTACATGAAACCGCACGATAACGACGCACTGATTTGCGGACAACCGTCAACCGCTCCGGTTGTTCTGGAGCTGCGACGAGCCGCACCGGTTGAATGATACGGCGCGCCGCGTCGCCTGCACGCACTCGGCGCGGTTAGCCGCAAATACCGTGTCCGTCATCGCTTGTTCTTTGCGCTAGACACTACGCAGAGTTTTTTAACGATATTTTCTACGATGATATAAATAAATAACTGCCGCAACTTCTTCAACGTCCATCATGTGCAATATTTCAAGAAGCACTGACGAGTGACGATTGCGGCAGACCGCAATAGGACCGCAATAGGGACGGTTAGCCGGAATACGGCAGACCGTATAGGTATACCGCGGCCTACCGCAGCGGCACACCGCATCGCGGCCAGCCGCTAGTGCGTTGTAGGCCTTAGACATACGCTTGGCGTTGAAAATATGTTTTATCAAATTAAGAAGCGTGTTTTTCAGTTTGAAAATCTAAAGTTAAGGAATTTTATTATTAAATCGTGATACCCAAACAAAAGAAAATAATATTAGTTTTTGATAAATTTATATCGGAGCTTCAATAAAATTTGGTGTAAAAATAAAGAGAGTTTTGAGAAAGTAGGAATATTATTATTTTACGCAGATGAGTCGCCGGCACCAACTCTAAATGATGGCACAAAATTATCCTGATAGTTTGAAAATTGAAATCGCGTGGTCGAAGCCGGCGAAATGAAATTGGTGCTCTATCAAATTAGCTTTGATTCGAACAGCGATTTCGTAATGATTTTCATTATAATCATAATATTCTTAGTTCATATTATTATTTGATTTTAGTGATAAAACTGACTGACTTATTTTAATTAATTTTGACTGTTAAACAAAATGATATTTGTTTTGTTACTTAAATATTTTTGAATACTAACTTTAATTTAGAGTTACTACTACTAACTTTAGTTTATGTATGTGTAGCGTGTATTGATTTATAATGTTTGTTTCCCGTACAGAAGCAAGACATACCAGCCTGGTTGGCATATGCTAGAAGGAGATGAGAGATGCAATCGGTCAACTCAGCTTAATACCATCACGGAACTTTACTACAATGCTGCTCTGCTGATCTTTATTTCCTTAGATCTTTTATTAAAGAATTGATGTTCCTATTTTTGTTCCATTAAGTAGTCTATGTACTATGTATATTGTTATTGATGTACTACATTCAACATAAAGTTATGAAATATAAGCAATTCGAATATTAAATTGTTGTTTCATTTAACATGAATGGACAAGATAAGGTCATATTCTTGGGCTGAAATGTGCGTCATTATTCATCAACAATTTAATCCAAAATGCAGTAGCATAAAATAAACATTGAATTTTAAAGATTTTTTAAAATTTAAGCAAATTAAATGGATAATGGATATATTTAATTATATAAGAATTTATACTTAACGCATGAATAAGTAGGTAGGTAGATTAAACAATATATATTAGCGTGTTATTTAATACTAATAATGCCTTTCAGTATCCACTCACAATTAAATCCAAAATACCGTAGCATTAAAAAAATGTTGAATTTTAAATATTGTTTATAAATTAAGAAAGTTAAAACGGCGTGTACCTATAAGGATTTATAGTTAACAAATGAACAGTAGGTAGGTTATAAGTAAAACAATATAGATTAGGGTATTATTTAATACTAATAATCTCTTCTCAGTACATCGAGTAATTACAATTAATGTCTAGCTTAATTGTAAGCATAAAATTATTTTAAAACTATATTCAGTTGCGATCAAAAGGTAATTTACATTTGAAATTGACGAACTCCGCACAAGCACCTATAACGATACAACCGTACATTTACATTACAAAACAATCCTTACATTACGCTTACACTTCTAAGAATTACAGTTATTTTGACAAAAGACCGAATGAGATCAAAAATTTTCACTGTTTTTGGTTTAGTAAAAACTTCTGTACGTTCATACTTTTGTTCTTTAACACGTAGATTTAAAGATAATTAAAATTAACACATTTTTCGATGATTGCCAAATTCAGTTGAAATGAGCAAGGTCATAGAGATGTTAAATTTACTAAAGATACTACTATTAATTCTAGCATTCGAAAAATCTAGTACTAATAAATGAACTAAGACGATGAATGATAACCTAGTGAAGATACTATTAGGGTAATGATGAATCTAAATGAAGAAAATAATCATCTAGGAAATCTACGGTAAGACGGCAAAGACAAAGGCGTGTTACAAAGCAAAACAGCTAACAGGGTATATGCAGATGGTGATAAGAATTTTAAGAACAAAAAATAATTTATAAAGCTCTGGATAATGCATGGTACAATCCAAGTGAAGATACGTAAGTATGAAATTTCGTAAAGACAACGAAAACGGGGACTAAATATGAAGCAACAACTGTCATGTTTCAGTTTTGTTTGATTTATTAACAGATTTTGATGCCGTTTTTATCTATTCCAGAAATAATGGTTATATTAATGTTAAACCTTGTCAACACGCCTTTGTATACAAAGCCGGTAACTACGATTTAAGTACAATAGATAGAAGAATAGTATAGACGGATGGAAATTCTGGGGCATTCGCATTACACACTAGAACGCTACGATTCTAAAGGACTACGAAGGGTTACACAATCTAAAGAAAGGATTTTGGCATCTTTTTGGATGATATTTACAACTTAGGACTAACTTTACAACCTTTGGACTATTGTGTCCGAACCTAAAAGCGAAATAATAAATCCTAAAAAATGTTAAAAGTACTTTAAAAAAAGATTTCTGGTGAGAAATTGACGCAGAGCGTGTTAGTATCATCGTATTGATCCGAGATATTTCACATTACAAGACACACAAATGGGCATAAGATACCAAATTTAATAAACTTTATTTTTTAATTTGTATATCTAGCTTTTCTAACTTCAACTACGCCTGAAGCTTGAAGCTTACCTTTTCTACTGCATCGCCACTATTTTTGCCGAATTGGATAAATGAATTGTATATGTTTACAAACTCCACTGAACGAGGTAACTTTGAGTGATCAGTCGTTAAAAAAAATGTCAATCTTAAAGATTAGTTTAATTACACATCTATCGTACGTCACAGCACATTTATTTAAGTCAATCTTAATGTATATTTACAATATGAGTGCATAAGATCCTAACAAACAAATGTGCTAAGGAAGCTTTGAAGTTGTTTTTCAGAAATACTTTGTATGAATTCTACCGGAGCAAGGTTTTTAAGTCGCCAGTTTTATAGGTTTTTACATGAATAGGAAAAACTGTTGACTGGGAAAACCATTGTTTGAGTACTTCGCATCATAAAACTCGTATGTAACAATGATTTTGGTTAAATTAAATTATGATTTCCGGATCAGGCTGCCAATGTGAGCTTACGAAACTAATCTAGCTTAGTCTAGCTTTAATATGAAGTAAAAGTATATTAAATCAAATTTTCAGTTTAGAAGTACCAAAAATGTTATACCAATCTAAGCGCAATAAATTAAAGGAATGAATACGAAACTTGTCGTGTATTTAAATTTTTCCCCAAACAAGATTCAAATTAGATGGTTTTCAAAAATAAGAATTCTTAATCCAACAAAGTTTATAATGACCGATTTTCATTTAAATTTGACACCTTCACGATATTTTTATCAATTTTCATGTCATCTGGGTCTTCCTTGAGCAACTCCCAAAGATGATTTTTGTCAAGTATTTCGAAGCCATCTTTATTTTCTGGGACAACTTCTGATTTAATACTACTCAAAACTTTTGAAGTCTCAGAAATCGGCGTTGACGGTATTTTGTGTATCTCTTTGTTAATTGACTTTAATGGTTTTATTTTATTTACTTTTGTTTTGTTTTCGTCCGTTTTTGTTTTGAGAGTTTGGTTGTTTGTCACGTTTGGCTTTTGTATTTGTGTACGGGCTTTTGGTTTTTTTGTTTTGTAATGTATTGTTTTTATATTGCTTTTTGTGATTGCTGTTATTGTGTGAGCTATTGTAGATGTTTCTAGGCGTGACGTTGGTGAACTGACTGTAGGAGGGGCTGTTACGTTATTTTTTTCAGCGGTTGTTTCAATGTGAATGTTTTGAGTGTTATTAATTTGGGTAATATTTGTTAAAAAAGTGGTTGTGTTAGGATTATCGGTTGTTTTAACTTTGGAAAAGTATTTGTCTTGTTTATCTCCGTAAGTGGCTTTTAGAGTACCTTTCCTTCTTGGTAAAGGTTTCTTTTTTATATCCAATTTTTTCGGGTGGAGTTTTGATTTGGAAATCTTGTTCACGAGGTCTTTACTAAGTAAATGCGCTTCGAGATTATTGTTTATTTGTTTTTCAGTAGAATTCTTTAATATTGTGATTTTAATATGGTGATCATTTTTCGAAGTAGTAGATTCTTGTTTTTCTGTAAAATTAGCATTAGTATTTACATTAACTATATCAGTGGTAGTTTCAGGATTTTCTAAAGTTAAATTTGTAAAAATATTATGTGAAGTTTCATTATTCGTAGTTTGAGTCGTGGTTACGTCATTATTAGTGGTATAAGTTACATTTTCGATTTCCGTTGTTACACTTTCCGTAGTTACACCTTCCGTAGTTGTACATTTCGTTGTTACGCTTTCCGTTGTTGGACTTTCCGTAGTAAATGTTTCAGTTGTCTGAACATTTACTTCAGTTGTAGCGTCCGTAATATTGTCGCTTTTAGGTTTCCTAAACTCATAGTCCCTACTACAAATTCGTCCACATTCGCAAATATTATCAATATTAGTACTTGTTTTACCATTTTTGTCAAACCAAGTTATAAAATCATCATCAGTGATGCCTCTAAGGAGTGGACTTCCGGGGTTTGCGTGGAAGAAAGTTTCCACAGCGAGGTCTGGCCTAGATGAGGGATAAATCTTCGCAAATGCAGGTCGAAGGCTTGTTATGATGAATTTTGATCGCGCCTCGTATGTCACACAGATGGGGCATGTTGAGCTGATCTGAAAGTTATTGATTGGAAATTTTAATAAATAATCATTATTTATTTAATTGTGTAAATGTGTAGTAATTTGTGTGTATCACGTTTTTATCTAAATTTATATAATGTAGTCCAAGATTATTTTTAATCGGTGAAAAAATATGCTTTTAGCCATATCTTACAATATCTTATTATACAAAAGGATATAATTAAAAAAATTACTTATCCTTGGTTGTAGCCTCAGATTCAATAAAAATTACTTATGCACATAAAAAGTAAAATTCTTTGGTACACAATCGGGATTTGAAGGTATGTCACGGTTGACAATTCTGGGATCTATAACTTAAAAAACATTAAAAATTCAACTCACATTATTGAAGACAAACCAAACTGCTTCTCCGCGTGAGCCGTAGTGAAGTTCTGCGAAGGTAGCTCCGGCCAGTACTACCGGGTTCACGGATGTTAGTGTGTATCCCGAGAAAAGTGATACTTCCACGCGTAATATTCCAGACGGCTCTTTGGCCTTCCATCTGGAAAAGAAATATATTTATTATTTATATTAGTTGCTATTATATATATACAAGACAAGCGAAACTTTTTTTTACGATTTCTTAAATAAATTTACCAAAAGTCATTTGAAAACTCTTCAATCGGGATTTTTCTAATGATTTGACATCTCAATGTATGTCTGTAAGTGTTATATAAAGTAAATGAGATATGTACATACTTGAAACAAGTCTTAATAATCAAAGTTGGCAGATTCCCTTGGAGATCTTCGATGCTGCTCCTCTCTGGGCGAATCTCTTCAATAATCGCCATTTGAATATTTAGCAAAGCATTTTCTGGTTTCGGTGCGTAAGTCGAATATGAAATTGTGCCCTAGGAATGAAAAGAAATCTTCTAAATCAAACTTTTATACACATTTCATAAATAATAAAAAGAAAATTTTAAAGTTTGGTCCCTGTGGCAATGTACCTTTAAGGCTGGCAGCATTTCCTTTCTGTATTGCGATACTTATTCGTTGAGCGAGGAAACCACCAGCACTGGGGTCACCGGTACTATCTACCAGGCGCAAACTTAAATCTTTAATTAGCGCCTGTGCACTTGAAAACCACGGCCCAAGAGTCTCTACTCCTAATGTTTATAAATTATGTCTAATGTTTTCTAATTCTTCATAAAATAGCACTCGTAATCAATCATTTTTACGCAGACCCAACGTTAATTTATTAGAGCAGACTCTAATCCCTAAGGTCGTAAGTTCGAGCCCCGGCTTTGCACTATTTTGGGAGTTTCTGTCTATATGCGCATTTAACAATCATTCATACGGTGAAGGAAAACACCGTAAGGAATGTCACCCTTAGACCCAAAAAGTCAACGGCGTGTGTCGGGAACAGAAGACTGTATAACTACTTGCCTATTAGAAAAAACTAATTATCACGAAACAGATACAAAACCTTAAAGAGGTTGTAGCGCCATTGCTTTTTTTACCATTATGAATCGAACCTTAACTGGAATATTGCTGGAATACGGTAGAACTCGTACAAGGGGGAACCCTGAAAAGGGGGGTTCCCATTTCGTAAAAAAAACAATCTAAATGCACATTTTCGTGTAAAGCAGTCATCTGTCCCTTTTCATCATAGCATAAACACATTAGGACAGAAAGGGATGAAAGATAGATTGAGTAGAATCCAACAGTGAAACCTAAGCAAAATATAGCAATATTAATTTTTCTAAGGAATAAAATATACCTGTACAGTAGCACATCCAGCTCCAGTGGCGTAAACAAAAACTTTGGTGGGAAGACCTGGAAGTTGAAGGGGTCTTGGTGGAGTCTTAGCTCGCAGTTCCAAGGTGTCAGTCAGTTCCATTCCCGCCGTTGCCAACGATACGGTTAGAGCCCGGTGTCTGTAAAAGTTTTTTTTTATTTACGCTATCAAATATTAGATACCTTTTTAAAATATGACAATCATATGAAAATGAAAAGGACATAAGAACTTCTGAAGGAACAGCGCTAACCGTGCAACTTCCTCACAATCGAGTTGCCCGCAGCACACAACTCACGAGGGGGCTCTTTGTATTGAAGAAGTCGCATGGGTCCGCCAAGCACCCGCGAATGTACAATGTAAATACATAATTATGTAGGAATAAAGAAAATAATAACAACCAATAATTCACTAGAAATGACTATGCGAAAGGTCCCTTGGCATTGTGTAGAGATGTAGGGTCTCTCTGCATCTTCTATCGCATTTACCACGGGGAGTTCAAAGAAGTTATTCAGATTAAAATCTGCAGCTGAGTTTCATCATCGGTCGTCGAGACAGAATACAAAATTCCACCGGTATCACCTCGACGTCCGTTTTTAAAGGACTTTTTGCCACGAATCACCACTATATGGAACCATCTGCCCACTGAAGTATTTCTGAACCAATTCGACTTAGGAAAATAGCATACTAATTCTTAAAAGGCCGCAACGCATTTGCGAGCCCTCTGGCAATGTGAGTGTCTATGGGCGGTATCACTTATGAGATGAGCCTGCTGCCCGTTTGCCCCCTGTTATATTAAAAAAACCATAAAGAAATGCAAGTTTATTTATAAAAAATTACCTGTCATGCGCAAGCGCAGCATATTGCGCAGCGGCCTTAGTGGCGATGTAGGCGAGGCTGGGATGTCGTTGGAGGGTAGAAGCTCTGTAGTAGAGGAACCGTGCAGCCGCTTCTCCTTCTGCTAGAGCGCCGCGTGCGCACGCAGTTAACAACACTCTCACACCCGCTACATATTGCTCCATTGATACAGCTTCTAAAAAACGTTTTTTACTACTTTATAAATTATTATCAAAAACAGAAATATTTCAAATTTATTAGGACTGGCTGAAAATCCCTTTGTAGGTACTCTTTACTTCCCAATAGCGATTGCGATACCAATATTGAGTCTTTGTACCGCGCGATCAAAATTGATAGACAAACCCCGAGATGTTGCTATTGGAGCTTACAGAGTAACGGTGCTGAACTTAATAACGGACCAAAAACAATATCCCAACCAAGATTTTACGATGTGTTAAGTTAGCTAATGCTCAACACAGATGGCGCAATTTCTCATTTACACCTTAAAGTCGACTTCATCTGCGTTTATAACGCTTGACCAGTATTGACCTGCCACGTTGTTTACGAGTCCAAGTAGTTTTTTTAAGTAATTGATATCGATTAATGTGTTAAAAAATGTTTATTTTATAGCATATAGTAACTAAAATAATTATATATAATGTGTAGGCAATTAAGTAAATAGAAACGACCTGTGTTCCCCAGCTCTTCTGTATATAATAATAATAATAATATTTTTTATTAATCAGACAAATACAGTCCATTGATTGATTAGTGAGTTAGTAACAATAGTTTCTTAAGATCTATGTTAGAGAATTAGTAAAAATAAGGAAAAAGTAGTTAAATAAAAACTATCAGGTACAAAGCCCTGCGGAGATGTCGGAGCAGTGTCGTAAATAGGGGCACTCCATTCTTTCGACTATCATCCGTAAGATGTTGCTGGAGCTGCCCCGCACCCGGCGCACCAAAGAAGCGCACCGCTTTCGCATAGTGGCAAAAAAGCACCCGCCCCTCTGCAAACATTCTTGATGCACTGCAGAAGCGAGGCAGCCACATATGGTAATAAATACGTGTATTATGCGAATGGTAGACTATGTGTACGTTTGTGGGTGTGTGTGTGAATGTGTATTGTTATATTACCCATTATTATTTAATATATTGTTAAATATACAAAAATATTTGCCTACGTCAACTAGCGTGATGAGAAAATTTTGCAAACGTAGAAATAAAAAATCATTATTTTAAATGCACTTATAGGTCTCCAATCAAAGTTTCATGATTTTAAAGAAAAGGACGAATTAGTATTGTCTTCGGTCACCGTGACCACGCACGCTGTAAAGCACGCGAAACGTCGGATAAATTTAAAATTATGTTAAATAGTTGTAAATTTATAATAATACATAACTTCAATCCGGTTAAACAGTTTTTTCTTTAAAGGACGAATTAGTTATATAATTATAAAAATATATCATCTATAAAAATTTTAACGTACAAAATGATTAAATGATAAAATAATATTAAAATTTGTAATTTTAAAAGCAGTTAATTGAGAAATAATTAAATATTCACCATATGAAGTAGTCTTGATGTTTCTGGAGGTTTCTTCGAGGAGCCAATCAGCGGCGTCCTTCCGTGGCGGTGGCCATCCGAACTCACCCTCCGCGGTCGTCGAGGCGTTTCTTAGAATTATTAGAGCTTCTGGTACTATCGGACTCCTGTAAATTAGTTAGTACTAATATAAATAAATTTCGAAATATATATAGTGATATATTTCGAAATTTATTTGATAAACGAATGATATTTATTTTTAATTAATATATACATTAATTCTTTGATATTATTTATACAAGATACGAATTTTCAGATTAAGTAATGCAATCTAATAAAAAAAAATCAAAATAAAAAACATTGCCATATTGCAGAAGACCGTTGGAACTAATTTTATCATGGCAACAATTTTTAAGATGTCATGGATGTCATCTGTCAAAGGGTCGAAATTCTAACTTTTGGATATTGTGACACAGATGTCGCCATTATAAATAAAGTGAAGTGAAGTGGATATTGTGAGTTATAAATGTCTTAAAAACATCTGTATGACTATACTTAGTGTTGCCATAATCAGGCTTTGGTTAATTATAAACATTTACATTATATAAAATGAGTTACCTGGCCAGAACTAAAGCTAGTACTGTAGCGGCAAGGGCGGCTGGTGACGTCAGTTTGTGCAGATTCTTCTCCAAGTATCGCTGAGCTTTTTGTGCTACATCTGCATCCAACTGAAATTTGTTTATAAATAATATAAATATAGAATATTTTGTTCGAATTGTGGCAAGAAATGAATTGTTCATAATTGGGTTATCGACCTACCGATTGATGTTAATACAACGTAAGTAAAAATACTAGACTTCAGCAAAATTTTAAAACTTGCGGTTGAGATTAACTTATATATCAATAACAAATGAAAAATACGTTAAGTAGTAAGTTGAATAAGAAAAGGTTTAAATGAATTTTTAATATTGTCCACAGATTAGAGACGTTTTCAGCAGCCTGTGGTTTACGACAATTTCAAGAGAGGCTCTATCAAAACATCATATTACCTGATTTTCAACACCAATCTCAAGCAACGCCACCAAAGTCTCAGCGGTCACTTCAACAGTCCTCTCAGCATTAATTTCTTCTTCTGTCATATTTCCATCTTTGTCGTAATAATATTCGTTCACGTCTGTTTCGTTTAATTTGAACTCAACCGGATAATAATCTACTTCTTTGTCAGCTGCTAAAGGAGTAAAGGAGCCATCTGGTCTTTGGCGCTTTTGTACCCAAGTTTTGATAGAAAGTAGCAAATTAGGATCTATCGGGTAGTAGGATTGTATTTTGTTGAGAATTTCTAGGATTTTCACTGTGGATACATGACTGCTGACTGATGGATGGTCGCTGAAGGAATTGTCGCTTTTGCGGAATGATAGCAAGATTTGGACCTGTAATAAGACCGTCAAATGTTTCATATTATTTTTTTCTTGGTCTTGAACGTGCACCTCTCAACCATGAGCGTTCAAATTATGGATTTTCTATGGGCAAATTTTACACTATATTATACGATAAAGGAAAACATCTTTAGAAAACTGATGACTGAACTGAACTGATTTTGAAAGTCAAAATCGCATGTTTAAAATATTTAAAAAATACTAGTTGCCCCTTCTAAAAGATAGTTTCATGGAGAAGAATGGGCAAGAAACTTCATAGTTACTCTTTAAAAAAAAGGCTATATGCCTGGCATAGGAGGCTGATCACTTGTTTGTCAAATAAAAAAATTACCAAGACCAAATCGCCAAGACGTAGACGTTTTAACCCAACTGGTTTTTTATAAATTTTCATATCGGTGAATAGTTTCTACGTGAGCAAGCTTACATTAAAAATAGAAATGTTTTAAGTCATTATTGTAATACCAATCAAGAACCTACGTTTATAGATTTCTATTGATAAGGGCTATATTATATGGATTATATGGCTTTGGCATATTGTGCAGTAAGGGTTTACAACTTTAACTTTTTCGTTAAAGGTTTCCTTCAGCGTTGAAATGAATTTAAAAAAAAACTATAGAAATTATTTCTTCATGGCAACAAATAATTTAAGATATCACTATTATTTATTGTTGTTTGCGTCTGTCAAGGTGTGGTGTCGATTAGATTGTGCCTGGAAGTCTTAGATATTTTGAGTTAAATTGTCGTAAATTTATTTTTATTTATTTATTACGAAGTATTTGTCGGAAAGATCGAAGGAATGCACACTATGAATAATGTGTCAAATGTCATGCCAATTTGTATGTGTATACATACATATTGTTGCCATAATCTTAATTAATTTAGCACACAAAGCAAGTTTTATTAGTTGGTCTTTATGTGTGTTATTATACACACGTGTGTGTGTTGACGACTGGGCAGAATAACATTACCAAAAATATTTTTAGACTTTTGCGTAACAAAATTCACCTTACCTGTTCAGGTAGTTTTTGCAAAATCCTCTCTTTCTCCGCATCTTCTACCAAATGTGGAATATGCTCTAAAGCCAATAATGGCGCTAAACTTGCTGAAGCAGCTGACAATTGTGAATCCTTCCACACAACTGCCCATTGGTCTGAAGAGTCTGTTTGGCTGTACAGAGGAAGATGTAGACCTCCAGAAACAAGAAGAGTGCCAGATGCTGAACCAGGGACTACGCCGTGAGGGAGACCTAGCTCCAATACTTGGGAAAAGCCGGCTTCTTCATTGAAGTTCCATATTCTGAAAATATTACGTTCTTGCGTTAAAATTACTGTATTTCCATATTTTTATTCAAAACAAAATGGTTGTTAAAAAACTTTACACGATTTGTGATTTTAAAATTCGATATTTTATACGTTTTTGGAACTAAATTATGACATCATATTTTTTTTAATAAAGATAATTTATAAAAAAATCGTAATATAGAATAGACACTGTACAGTACTTATAATATTTGACTTTGTTTCTATGTATTTGTCAGCCTTTAATGTTTAACTGAAATAATTATCCTTTTTCTGGGAATAGAATCTTGGACGGAACATTTTTTGGATATTTATGGAGAGTGTTTAGACGATATCTAATATATAAAATTCTCGTGTCACAATGTTCGTTCCCATACTCCTCCGAAACGGCTTGACCGATTCTTATGATTTTTTTTTTTGCATATTCAGTAAGTCTGAGAATCGGCTACTATCTATCTTTCAAACCCTTAAAAGATAAGGGGTGTCCGCACCAAACATTTTTTTTAAATTGTTAGACTATTTTTTTTTTGTTTTTATTTTTTTATGATACAGTAACAACCCCCTCTAATTTTCACCCCTCTACGATCAAACCCTATTTTTATTATTGATAGTTATTTTTATTGAACTAAAAAAATCTTTCCTAGAAATAATATATGGCAAAACAACGTTTGCCTGGTCTATGAGAGATACTTAGATTTTCCTCACCTGAAATCAGCCTTATCACCCCACAAAGCGCTGAACCCGACATATTTAATCCGCATATCATTAGGCAAAGGCCACACGAGTAATGGCCTTTCATTTGGCGACGCTCCTTTCCCAACAGAGAGTCTGCCCCCTTCCCACCAAACCCAGAACGCGCACCAGGATGTTCCAGAACATTCGTCGTCTGTTTCTGTCTCTTCAGCTCTTGCTAGATGGACATCGTAACCTGGAAAATTATGGTTTTTCTATAGAACCATGACGGCTCAGTGGACAAGTCTATTTAATGCGTTTAAGAAGGATTCTCGGTGAAATAAAAATAATAAATGTGTCGCCATGACAGTTACAGAAAAGTAAGAAAACTTTCTGTTTAAATAAAGTACTATTATAGTGCTAGCCTATCATTTTTTTATGGCAATGGCACGGTTTGTGCATTAGCCAGCGTCAAGTATAAGATTTTTATAATTCGTGCTTGCCTTAGAAATTCGACCGTGTCCTCCATGTACGGTTTAAGCACTCGCCCGGTACCGCACAACCCTCCCAAAGGCCGAAAACAAATTTAAATTAAATTAAAACTTGCCCTCGAACCGGGAATCGAACCCGGTACCCCTCACCTAGCTGCCACTTAATAAGACCGCTAGGCTATGAGGCCCTTAGAAAGCCTATCATTGAATAATATATTTTCATCAGTGTAATACAAATCAGCCGGTACTACGTAAGTTTCAATAGCGATTGATTCCGAGGATGTTTTATGCAATTTCTATATTGTCAATTTCTGTAGCACTGTCGTAAATATATCGCGCGGTACTAATTAAAATTATAGAGTATGTTCAGCAACCTATTTGTCCTTTCAGAAGAATGCGTTTTGGCCAAAACTCCGATAAACGAGCTAGGTCTGCCCTGCGATTCTGCGACCGCCGATGCGAAAACCGCTGTGTGAGTTTGAAAAGTGAGTTACAGAATCGCAGGGCTGGATATTCATAGATAGTGCTACCCTCACATTTTGAAATAGATTTTTCTTTAGTTTTTATAATTTAATTTTTGGTAAAAAAAATTGTGTTCGTGTATGTCATGTTTGCCAATAAGTGCTTTTCACATTAAAGAATGAATTTAATTTTTAATTTTATCTTATACCAATGTATGAATGTGCCAAGCTTTTATAAATAAATAAATATGCTAAAACTAGACGAATAAAACTGTATACAAATTTAAACGTTCATAATTCAAATCAGAAACTCGAAAATTATGTATTCATGTAAACAATGTAACATTACACTTTAACTAGCGACGTAAATTTTAGTATCTAAACCCCAATGCAGTTCTATTGTTGACTACAAAACATACTAACTACAAGTTCGCAAACAATTACTAGTATTGGATGAACAAATATTCACATAAAACCGTTATTCCCTACTCTGTGTTACAAATGTGTGTTAACTTTTATAGACTTTGTATTAACCAAGGCTATGTTGTTTGATTTCATTTCTTTTGAAGTACTTGAAAGAGGCCAGACTAAATTCTTAATTTATCCTAAGCATTTTTCATGATTTAAACCCTGTATTTGCTAGCATTTCAATATAGCTAGTTCTTTCCACGTCCTGGGAATAAACCTCGCCCTAGCTATAAGGAATTTAAATAAAATACTGCATTTGCGTCATACGTAAATTTTACTTACGTTACAATGTGTGTATGCTAAAAAGATGTGAATTTCAAATCAACTTACCATGTTTTCCTTTTGCGATCCAGACTCGACTCCTCTCAAATACGACTCGATACATATCGTCAGATGCTTCCTGTATAGTAGACAATGCCACATGAGCAGAGCCTTGAGCTCTGAGTTCGAGGACTAAACCCGCCCGATTCCTCGGTGCAGCCACCCATTGCCACTCCCATGAACCGCGAGATGATACCGCCAGATGTTCTAAAGGAATAGGAGAAGATGGGTGCGATAAATATTGAAGATAGTTGAAAAATTTTGTGCGAGTGTTTTATTTATTTATTATTAATTATTATTATGTATATCTCGGGTTAAAATTATATTGATTAAAGTCTAAAATTAAATTGATATTAAAACAATGACTTTAATATTATATTAAACTGTAAATATATGAGATAGTATAAATGGATGTTAGCTTATGTGACTTAAAGCGCCCCGTTTTTTGCAAAGTTCAAATGATGAATTTAATAAGATTTTAATATATTATTTGCAAATATGTTTTTTAACTGCTGGAAATTAACATATAAATTAACCGACATTAAACATAGCTATCATAATAATTTGAGTTTCTGAAATTAATTTTCGCTTATATTTTATACCATTCAGTAAATCGTGAAATTCATTGATTCGACTTAACATTTCGATCTCAACCTTCAAGTTTGTTAACTAGCATGTAGACTTTTTTAAGTAGTTTATAATAGTGTGGTGTAAACATAAACTAGACTATTTTTCAAACCAGAACGTCAAGTATACACTTATTTATATAATAATAGAAAGAAATAACTACATTTACACTTTATTAGTAAAAATTAATATTTAACATATTCTTAAACTCAATTCCACTTACCATTAGCACAGAAGTATGCACTCTGCGTATCGCTTCTATGCAGACCTTCTGGCAAGACCAGAACACTAGCTGATCGAATCACAGAGCCCACAAGTGTTTCATTGTTGAAGGAGGTATAGGAGACTGAACAGTTGTCAGCACTATATCCGGTTACTTCAACTGAAATGGCAAGGTAGCATATTGGTTTTTTATAGAACAGGGGCAGGAGGCCGCCCATGAACAGTCTCAACGCCAGAGGGCTTGCGAGTGCGTTGCCGGTCTTTTAATACGGATTTAAGGAATTCATTATTTCTCGAAACTTTTAAATAAAAAAACAAATGCTTGGTGGGTTAGTTGTTTTTATTTCATGAAGATTTTAAGAGTTACACTATATTTGTCTACACGATGTTTTCCTTCATTCTAAAATCCAGTATTAATTGCTTATATAGAAGAAAAATCCAATTGACCGCTGGATTCAAACTCACAACCTCCGAGGTGAAATATCGCGGGATGTACGAATGTAGTGACTACTAGGTTGACACTGCTAACATATTAAAGAAAGCACTAAAAAGATACTGGTATAGTACGATTTGTATCAATGTAATATAAAGTAACTAGATATGATAAATAAATTAATAAAATCTTATTTACAATTATGCCATTGAGTTTTCTTTTTTTGTATCGGCATAGTAAAAAACTATTCTATTTATATACTCTATTCAATATTTTCTTCTGAATTAATATGAAAGGGAAGGCAACTGTCATTTTATATTTAATCTCCGTCAACCCAAATGGCTACCCTATTAACCGATTGAGTGACCATGAAAAGTCTAATATCATTCGTTTCACGATCTCTTTTATGGTCCACGTGCATTGTCCCATTAAACACTGACACACAATTACCGGGGAAAAACGACGCGTCGATCACGCAAACCATAAATCAGGCTTATTATTCTGGATGCCATAAAAATAGTTATCTCCTCCTGTGTTTGAGATATTAGTAGCTGAGTAACGACACAGGCTGGCGTTTGTTTATAGAGCTATACAACCTAATGAGGTTAGTAACGGGTAAAGTACTTTTTGGAAATAGGTCTCGTGTTTGTTACGTTGAGAGGTTTGAAGATCAAAGTGGATCCCCCTTAAATTGATGTTCTTGTGGAATGTTCGTGAATAGCTAAATTTTATTTATAGTAACAGTAGAAGGTTTACCATTCGAAAATAGAAAAAACAGAGTGAAACATTTTAAAGTCTAAAGTAATACTATATTGAACATGGTCATGGGGATATAGTGATATTCTGAATAATGAATTTCGTCATTAAACTTGATTGTATCGAGGCGTTCAATTTAAATGTTAATTACTATTCATTGCTGCGTCGATATTAATGCTTAACTTGCATTAATGATATTATAAGCACAATAGAGGTTTTAGCTAGCATTCATGTCAGATTCGATATTCGGTAACGTTACGTAGATTTTATATGCGATTTTCAGTAGTGTTTCCTAACTTAAACCCGGCGTAAAGTTTACCATGTTAATAGTGGATGAATATAATCTAATATATAAAATTCTCGTGTCACAATGTTCGTTCCCATACTCCTTTGAAACGGCTCGACCGATTCTTATGAATTTTTTTATGCATATTCACTATGACAGAGTGAGAAGCGGCTACTATCTATCTTTCAAACACATAAGTGATAAGGGGTATCAACCCCAAAAAAATATTTTTTAGACAATTTTTTTGTTTTTATTTTTTTATGATACAACATACAAAAATACATACAACCCCTAATTTTCACCCTTCTACGATCAACCCCTATTTTTTATTAATGTAGATAGGTATTTTTATTGAACAAAAAAGTTTCCTAGAAATAATATACAGATAAAGTTTTATTTGTTTACCTTATAAAAATTTCGTAACATTCATACGAATATACATTATTTAATAGGCTAGCTATAAATTGTTCTTTCACTATTATAATTGTGGTTTAATTTCTTTTATCGTTTCTGAATATTATATAATATGCGTAAAAGCATTTCTATTGCAAATATTAGTCTAGCATTTGCGAACTTCAAATGCGTCTAAGCTTTTTAAGAAAATGAAACATTTGGATGAATACATCTCTTAGATGATTATATTCTGTCTACACTGCATACTCCAATATCTTAAAATTCGGCGTCTAAGCTACTCAAGTAAAACAAGCAATTCGAATAAATAGAAATTGTATTTTCTTAAACAAATATTACCCTTACTGAAGGGCCTCATATGGTTCGATTCCCGGTCGGATATACGCATATATTGTGTGTTTATTACTTTAAATTTGTTATCTGCCTTTGGTAGGGTTCTACGGTACCGGGAGAGTGTCTAAACCGTACATAGCGGGCACGGTCGAATTTCTTAGACATGCAGAGGGCATCAAAGATTAGACAGGATAGTGTGAGATATAGAATGTATGTATTAACTAAGATTTCCTAGGCCGAGGATGGCAGTTGCAAGTGTGTGACATTCCTTCATGCCCTTACTAATATAAACAATAATTGCCATGACATTATTTTAAAGAAGATTTATAGGAGACAATGAAAAATAATTTCTAAGACGTAGGTCTTAGATAAAGAATTATTAATATAATTAAATTACACTCACCTGTAATATTCTTTCTTCCAGGTGTATTAACAGCGACTCTTACGACGAGTTGGGTGCCGCCGCGTGGTCCCAACCGAAGTCTTTCGGTAACATATAAAGCCCCAGTACTGGCAAACGCAGCTCCAGCACTTAGTGCTAAAAGTGCGGTAACCTGGAAATAATAATACTATAACTAACAAAGTGTTTAGTCTGCACAAGCCTTGTAAAGCCTCTAGACGTGCGTAGCAGCCAGGGAGGTACCTATTTCCTAGGAAGCCCAGGCATTAAACCGATTCGGTAATTCGGACTGCTCACGATATATTTTTTGATCACGAGCAATTTGCCGGGCAGAGTCTATGTAATAAGAGAACACGATGTCATTTGTTTTATTAGAATGGCAACACCACGTAATATCAGACATCTTGCCGTCAATTTGTCAGTAGTGTATTGACTATTGTTGCTCTCTGATCGGCGGATCTTGTTTTTAAATTTAATTAAATGTCGGACAACGATAATGATGACAACTTGGCAAATAATCGCTTCGAATCTGCGACATACAAATTTTTTAAAAACTAAAATTAGTTCTTAAACAAAACATTGCTTCTCCTTGCCTTTCAATGAGTCATTTTTCACCCCTAATTCTAAATACATTAACTTCATCAGATAAAAAATACAGTTTCACTAAATAGGTCTGAACAAATGCAATCTTATTTAAATCAACAAAAACAAGGTGAATACGAAACAACGCTAGTTGAAACTCAGATCTCCGGGGATACATTAAAACAAGGACAATAGCATTCGGAAGTTCAGTTGATTACATCTCCTTGCATAATAAAAACTTTCTCTGCACTTTGTGAAGCTTTACAATGAATTTTGAACAATTAGAAGCTTGTACCTGTTATTTGTATTTACAGCTGGCATAGAAAATGTTTCTGAATAAATTTTCGTTTCATGTTCGGATAATTAATTTGATACGTTTTATTAAGATTTTGTACATTAGTCTATAAGCAACATTGTAAATTGTGGAAAAAATGTTAATATGAAGGTATTTACAATGTAACCTATCATTTGTCTCGGAAAGTGGTTTAATTAAAAGTAAAAAAGAAGTTCTCTCCGGCGGGGAATCGAACCCCGGTCTCCCGCGTGACAGGCGGGGATACTGACCACTATACTACCGAAGACTTGAGTAGGATTTCAAATTTATAGACTATGTGGTTAAATAGATAGGTCTGATTGTAGAAACAAGTCTGCTACCCTTCATATCATTGTAGGTTTAAATGACAAAATCCTATTAATAAATCATTATACAGACTTAATCGGTCCCAACTTCTTTACTAATTGCTAAGTGAGTGGAATAATAAATTTACACAGAAGCCGACGGCACGAGGATGACGGTATGACTACTAAAAACCTATAGAAAAGGGTCAATTTGAATGAATCCCTTCTAAATATTATATTTCCTCACATAGGCTCACACTAATGCACGTATTTTATTATCAAATATTCTACCTATCAAACACATAAGCCGTGATAAATCTCCTAATCGTTGTTCGCTAGAGGCCACTAGAGCTGCACGATCCCTAATCGGTATTCGATGAGCGATGTCGATACCAAACAAATCACTCGCTGACGTAACTTCGTTCCAGATTACGTTTTTATATAAAAATTTCGCATTATGACTTTGCAAAGTAACACTCTAGAAAAGTTAAGATAAACTTTATATATTTTTGGCCTCTTTACTCGAAATTGAATTCGATAGTTGATTAGTTTACGGAGAGTGTGAGTAGTGAAGTTAAAAGGATATGAAACACTTTTCTTGATCTTACAACATTGACAACAATTACATTTAAAATATTAGTGTGTAACGCTTTTGAATAAGTAGTTTTCACTTTGCATTCAAGATTAAGTTTTTATCTCGCTTTAAAGTGAAAGCCACGATAAAAGGGTAGTTAAGGAATAAACTAAAAGTTTTAAACAAAGTTATCCGAGTTAGGTGCAAGATGCCTAACTACCGCTTCGAGATGGATCCGGCTAAGTTTGTGCAAGTTTTATCTTCGCATACTCAAAGAGGAACTTTAAATATTTTGTAAATTTATTTACAAAGATTTCTAAAAATGCGAAATTCTTCAGTATTTTAATAATACTTTGTAGTCCGTTCTTGCTTATTATTATTGCCTACCACTTCACGCACATATTGCATAAACCCGAGACTTTGGGGTCAGTTTAATTTTTTGTATAATTGAAACAGATTTAGAAACCTTAAGTAGCCCTTATGGGTTGTTTAAACTTCGTTGCACATTAATGTGATGTTTTTCTTAGTCCGCCCTTTAAGTGGCTACATACCAACATACGGAACATTCTTGCTATACTACCCAATAGAAACTGTTCGCTTTTACGGAATGAAAACCTAAGTACTAAATAAAACTAAATTTTAATTGTTTAATATTTTTTAACTTTCTCTCCATAAAAACCTTCCGAAGAGTTTAATTTCATTTTGATTCACATTTATTTATATAGATTTTCAGGATATTAAAAATAAATAATAATAATAATATATAACGATATGAAAATATCCACAGCGATTTACTTTATTATACATTTTAGTGCACTTTGAATTCAGTAATATTATTAAATATTAAGATGTTACAACAAAAGACCTATTTGTCTAGCCTTAAGGGTTAAAATATATGTGGGTTGCAATAACTCGTATAGATAGCCATAATGTAAATAAGCAGAATATACATGTTTACGCGTGTCCTAAATAAACATAATTTATTTTGTTACGATGTTTACTTCGTTCTTGTAAATTACGTGTTTGTGTTTTTGCAGTCTGTTTTGTCAATTTCCTACAACATTATAAAAAGTATAAGAGACCCAGCCCTGCGATTCTGTAACTCACTTTTCGAACTACACAGCGGTTTTCGCATCGGCGGTCGCTCTCAAATCAGTCGAGAAGCAGTCATTTTATGATTTGGCATTCTGAAAAGGTGGGACCTTGTATTTTATTGTTTATCAGAATGCCAAATCATAAAATGACTGCTTCACGACTGATTTGAGAGCGACCGCCGATGCGAAAACCGCTGTGTGAGTTCGAAAAGTGAGTTACAGAATCGCAGGGCTGGTACTGGAGGAAGGTAGACACTAATGTGGTGTAAGTATTGAGAGAGTAAAATAATTGTATTATTATGATTAGACTGCAGGTCAGTTCATACTCATTGAGCGATAGGTCTAAATCGTTCGTTCGTTCATTTATAGTTCTCCAATATTTAGTCAGGTCATTCGTTGAAGATCGGCTATGTTAAAATTTCAACTTCAATCCATTAGATAAACATCTATATAGTACACATACAAGCATAGTACGCATACAAGCAAGACCTGGCAAACGTCGTTTTGCCATGTATATTATTTCTAGGAAACATTTTTTAGTTCAATAAAAATAACTATCTATTACAATAAAAAATAGGCGTTGATCGTAGAGGGGTGACCATTAAGGGATGTATGTATTTTTATATCATAAAAAAATAAAAACCAAAAGTTTTGTCTAAAAAATAAAAATAAACACTTAGGGGTGGGACCATCCTTAATATTTAGGAGGATGAAAAATAGATGTTGTCCGATTCTCAGACTTACTGAATAGGTATAAAAAATTTCATAAGAATCGGTCGAGCCGTTTCGGAGGAGTATGGGAACGAACATTGTGACACGAGAATTTTATATAATAGATATCGATAGACAATTTGAAAAAATTGTATTTTTCATAAAATACTGATTATATCTAGTCACTATTGTATTTAATATATACTAATAATGTTGATACAAATCAGAAATTTTTCCTCTAAAGATTAACTTTATATTGTACGTATATTTTATTCTTTCACGATCATAATATTATATAGAATGTTCACTGTATTGTATTATCTAGACCTTCCGGGCATCTGAATAATTGGACCGCGTCATATCATGTTCCAATTATAATTTAAATAATGTCCAATACAATTAGTTAGATGTATTAAATTTGTTTACTAACAATAATATGCAAATGTAAGGTCTGTATCCTAATATGTATGTATTAGTCTCTAGTATCTATATAATATAATACACAATTTAGAATTTGTCTTGCCATGAAGTTTTTTTATGGCGAATAATGTACTCAACCGATACCTGCCTAAAATTAATATCTGTTTAAAACCTCGCTTATTTTCACCTACATAAGTGACATAAGCATTTCCACAATGTTCCAAATAATTTCACAATATAAGGCGCTAAGGACAAGAATGACTAATCTAATACGTTGTTGGTATATGGGATATGCCAACAACGTATTAGATTTTTACAAGGGAATGTACATTTTCTAAACCTAAAAAACACAATTATGAAAAAATTTACTCACATCCATACAATTGTTAATATTGTTCGTTATCTTCACATCCACTTCGACAGTTTCGCCGACTTTTAGGGCTGGAGGGAGGGCGAAGTCCAGTTGTATAGGCCGGAAGACGTTGATGGTCTTCGGAGCAGAAAATCGAAGACCTCGGCTCGAAAGAGAAAGTGCCCAGAGTGACCAGCGACCGGCTTCCGATGGAGCCGCGATTGTTACGCCATCAGTCGATAGCTGAGTCCTGAATATAATGGTTTAAATAGCACATAGAATAAGTGTACAGGATATGAAAAAAGTATCTCATGATGAGTTCGGCATTTAATATTATAGTATTTCAAAGCACCTTAAGTCTAGTGTGCCGGGTTATCAGATATACCTAGCTATACCTTATATTTGATCATACATAAAAAAAGTGTAATTTTTTTTGTTAAATCGGTAATTACCTGAAAGAGTTACGTAGTTAGTTCATTACGTAGTTTTTAAGATTATTTAAGTTGTTCTAAAGTGCGTAAGATATGGTAAAGGAAAACATAGGAACGAAAGTGGCATGCAAAAATCTATAGTGTATGTTCAAACAAGGTTGATATTATGAAAATAAATTCTCGAGATATAGAAACCTGAAAACATAACCAAGAGTTATAGCGCTACTGTTTTAATCCAAAGTAGCTGATGTTATGCCATACGTAAATTGGTTAATAACATATATAATTACTGGTATACACAAACTATTTTATTGGATTTTGATACACTGTAATGACTGTAGTGTTCTGTAATTGCAATACAAGCAATTAATTTGGAAATAAAGCACGATCATTGTGAGATAATTAAATGTCACAATTGAATCGTTTATCGATATTGCGGAATAAATGTAATACCATTTTATTAAAATACCTGATCAATTGACGTATAGTATTTTAGTTGTTTCGAGAATAATACAAATTTATTTGAAATTCCTATAAAAAAAATGGAACCTGCTCCAATATGCACAAATACACTCTATTACGCAAAAAATACACGTTGAATTTTACGGCTCAGTGGTCTAGTGGTTAGTATCCCTGACTGCGGATCCATGGGTCCCTGGTTCGATCCCCGGCTGAGACAAACATCGATGTGATAAGTATTTTGGTGTTGTGCTTAGGTCTTGGGTATTTAAATATGTATTTATATGACTATATCTCTATAATATGTATGTATATCCGTTGCCTAGTACCCATAATACAAGCTTCACCAGCTTAGCATGGGACTAGGTCAATTGGTGTGAATTGTCTAATCTAAAAAAAAATAAATTGCATCTCTTTTGGTGTTTTTCGGAAAGAGCTTGTTATGTTTAATAATAAAGATAATATTAATATCATCCAGTTATTAAGTATTATAGTTATAAATAAAATTTATTATTAATATATATCTCGGTTTTCCATTGTACACAGTGAGTGGCCCTGACACAAGACCCACACGAAAAGGCTATTTCTAAACTAAAATATATTTTTTAAAGGTTGGTGACTAACAAGAAATGTGCATACAAATTTGTTTCACTTATAATTTTTCCGAAACAAACTATCATATAATGTGTTTTAATACTCGTTTTAAATCGTGAAACAGATTTCACATTTGTGTTTTTGATAGGATATAAAATAAATGACTGACGTGAAATTTGAAATCGATTTGTGGTCTGTGGCTTTTAAAATTACTATTGAGCAGCATACATTTTAAATTTAGTCTACAACTAAATATACTTTGGCAAGACAAACTTGTAAGGCATCCTCGCTAATTAAAATAATATACAAACTCTCTTAGACTAACTTCACAAATTAGTGGAGCAAGATGCTCATTATAAAATTATTTATTCTTACATCTCATACAATAAAAAAGATAGAACATATTCAATTTTTGCTACTTTTATCCTCCCCCAGTCTATGTATAAAAACCTATTTTGGGACAATAACTTAACACTTTATTTAGAATATAATGGATGTAGAAAAGAAACATTTTGTTTTTTTTAAGTTTCAATTTAACAATTAGAAACAATATATATATTTATATTATTTATAGGACAAATATATATATATATTTATAGGACAGAGGGCAAACGGACAGGAGGCTCATTTCATGTTAAGTAATACCGCCGCCCATGGACACTTGATGCAAGAGGGCTCGCGAGTGCGTTGTCGGCCTTTTTTTATTACGCTCTTTTCTTGAAGGAAGGAGATGAAATCCTTATTAATAAACAATATTTTAGACACAAAAATCTGGAGCCAAGGCCCAGGTTTTTATCGCCAAATTTCTCTTTAATTTATTCAAAATTTTATCGTAGGTATTCAAATAGCAAATGTTGTCCTGTAAAGCGTAAACACAACCAGTACAACACCCCATTTCCAAAGCTATATTCCATATAAATTCTATATAAAACCAGTCAGTTCCTGCAGAATCGTATTAAATTTCATTCAATGAAAATATCCAGTTTATCACTCTGTCACGCTTCACTTGACAGAACATGTATTTACGCACTTACATCGGACAAAATTAAATATAATCAGGACCATAATTGCAATTGTTTTAAATAATTGCGGAGCACGGGAGCGCAATTAAGTTTTGTTGTTTAAAGGGATTATTTTAATGAAATTCTGTATGTAGGTAATTAATTAGAATTGTTAATTAATGTCCCAATTTGAGTATTTCATCATGAAGCGAATTGTAAAACGTTAGCCACGCGTGACTTTTACAGACCAAGAGAAGAGTTTTTTACGCCATTGTATATTTTTATGAAATTATATTCCTATATGTACCTATTGCGAAATTTCAGATAGGGATATGTTATTTATGTATTTTTTACGTCATCTTTGATATTTTATCTAAGGAATAAAGTACATTTTTATAGATTACTAGAAGATATTTAAAACAAGTATTGCGACTTGGTTATATTGAAAAATAATGATTGTTTGATATTTTAAAAGAGTACCGAGAGTTTTTTACGCCAGCTTTTTCTCTCGACCTTCACCCTCTGTCTTCTTTGCCGATGAGTAGGGATGTCTACCGATACAAATTTAATGACGTGGAATAAGTAGAATATTATATTCCATAATAAACTTATTTTATTTTAACAGCGATCCCAGTGCCGGCTGCTATTGAGTGCTATATTTTCCAAACTGTTTAAGCCAGTCGAAACATTTTGAATATTTATTGTGCTAAAATAAGGAGGAAGATTTATTATTGTAAATATCTATCACCATGAACATCTTTTGTGCCTACAATTAGCGTCTAGGTATCAATCCTTAAAACTTACGAACTTAAATTTTATGTGTGAGATAGTAAAAATCAATGGAAACTCACGTGTAATTAAAGCACTTCCACATCCAGAGTCTATCATGCGTGGCCGGTGGTACTAGATGAGCTGGAGACCGAACTTGGGGTGTTCTCTGTCGGTATAAGACACCACCACCGCAGGCGCCACCACCCACGAAAAGTGACACGCCAGCTGATACGAACTCCGGTCCAGGTAGATCTTCGTGTTCTGATGAACTGGAATTTTATGCTTGTGTTGAGTGGGAGCTTGGTCTCAAGTTGATAAAGGTAACAGCCTTATATGGTAACATATTTCTACACTAGCGACCGCACGCAACCTAGAATTCTTAAACTAATGTGCATACATAACTGTGTGCCTACATTATTTTTCATTATATTCTGTAACCTGTTAAATAAAAATACAAGAAACCTTTGACCTTTATCAAAGTGGATAGCGTATAACTCCTAGGAGCGAGTGTAAATTTAGCACATATAATTAAAAGAATGATATCCATTGATGCACAGCGAACGAACTACCGACCTTACGGTTGAAGAGGCACTGATAGTCCTAAAACAACTTACAATAAATGCTTACTGCTACTTAATCATAAGCTTAAATTAGTAGAGCACTTCAGATTCAGCCAAGTTTAGTTTTTATAACATTTAATAATTTGGTATAATTATAACGTTAAAATGATATGTATAGCTCCTAATCCCTTGTAATAATTGTTAAATTAAATTTATTAAATTTGAAAATAAACTTAAAACATTCTTTAACAAATCGAGTTGTATAGTACAGGCAACTAATCTTTAGTTAAGTACTATTATCAATGTCGTAGTTCAAAGCTCTACGCTGACGTTGATGTAGCACGCGTCAGAGTAGCACTTGTAGCGCGTAGCATTTAATATTGCTACAATAATGGCTACAATCTATTTTTAGCTCACTTGTAGTCTGAAAGGACAGTTTGTAATGGTAAAAATTGAATATTGGACTTGGAAATTACTTTATCATATTTTTTATATTAAAGTTTTAATTAAATGATAATGAAATTGAAGTCGAGTTCGGTTGTAAGGAATATGTTTTCTGTCTAAATAAAGGTATTTTTATAAGCGTCCGATTTATGCTTGTCAAGCTATCTAATAGGTATTAATTGGGTAATAATTATAAATCAAGTAGGTGATCAGCATCCAGTGCCTGACACACGTCGTCAACTTTTTGGGTCTAAGGCAAGCCGGTTTCCTCACGATGTTATCCTTCACCGTGCGAGCGAATGTTAAATGCGCACATAGAAAGAAAGTCCATTGGTGGGACAGCCGGGGATCGAACCTACGACCTCAGGGATGAGAGTCGCACGCTGATGCCACTAGGCCAACACTGCAAAAATTAAATTTTCGATAATATAATATAAAATAATTATTTATGATAATTTTTTGTATACATAGTCCAAGTCCTGAGTTTGAGTGCAAGTGAAACATATTTTTAGTTTATAAGTACATACCTCAACCAACACACAAATCTACATATCATATTATGCCTTATTGGCTTACGGGACTTCAACCAGACGGAAATGCAAATGTCGAAATTCACAAACAAACCACATTAATTTGAGACTAATTAAAAGATCTATCGTAATAATTTATTATTAAATTATTTTCTTCGGGCAATATGTGTTTTTTTACTTAGTATTAAAATTCACCTGACGGTGTAATTTAAAACATTTTCTGTCCACCGTATCATCGATTTGCTTTGGAATAATTATATAGTTTAACAAAAAATATTAATAAAATAATAAATGTAAATTACGTGAAATATACAACGAGAGCATTTTGTGTTGCAGGTAGAACCACTAAAACAACAGACTGTTAATACTGATTCATTATGACATGCCTATTGAGGCCTGAGCTGTAGTCCTAAACAGTTTAAGGTAGTATTATGCACGAACTAATCAGATTTGTTCCCGATCCTCTTCCTGATGATAACTGATGTAAATTGGGTGTTTGAAGCGAGTTTAACTGTCTCTATTTCCATATTTGTATGGGTGAAATGTAATTTGATTGAAACGCTAATTGTAGGATAGTATTTGCATAGGATTCTTAACCTCTTTGTTTGATATTGTAGAATATATTGAATGAAACAAATTGTTCTAAGTGATTATATTATACATACCACAGTATAATAAAATATGAAATAGCTGATGATCGAAGTATATAACAATTAGATTTAATCTAACTATTACGTTAATGTAACAATATAAATGAAATAGAGCCTGAAGGTTTACACCACACTACGAACTTCTTTAAATTCCTTACAAACTATAGAGTTAAGAGAAAACAACATAATAAATACATGGGTAACTTGGAAAATAGGTAATAAATACAGAGAGAGTGTGAAGGATTGTGTAACGCAATTAAAAATAAACACACATTTTTTTCCTTTTTCGTGTCTAATACTATATTAGATTAAAGTCTGGGAGAGATCACTTGCTAAACTAACGGCGCCCGCTAATAAGGCTGCCCATTGCCCTAAGTACTGGACCGATTTTAAAAATTATTTCACTATTTGAATGCTACATTATCACGTATTAAGATAGGAACCCTACTAAAACGACAATAACGTAAGCCAAGGTGTAAAAAAATGCCTATAAATATCTTTCATGGCATGCGCTGCGAAAACTATTGATATAAACATATTTGATAGAACAAAAATGACCCACAATATTAAAGAACAATACAAAAAATATACACCCGTGCGAAGCCGGGACGGGCCGCTAGTATGTAATTAAAGTATTAAAATGTATGGAAATCATATAGATACTTACGAAGAATGTCCATCGAACCGGGAATCAGTTGGTGTGCGAGCTCCAATCAAGCACATCATGGAGTCGGGGGGTGCCAAGACTCTGAGCTGGAGACTCGCCCTTGGATACCACCATCGTCTTTCCTCAATTGCCACTGCCACCTGTAGGGCATAATATGTGCTATAATTAAACTTTGCTCAAAAAGTCGAGAACATAATATAATCACTACAAAATGTCCACAAGGATTTAATCATTAATTTCCCATTAGTGCATTAGAATGCGAATTTAAAAGAATTGTAATTCAATATAGAGTAATGAAATATTAGTTTTATTTAATAAAATAAAAATAGTTTACAGTGACTTCGAGTCGGTTTATGTTTGGCTACTTTATTAGGTACTTCTTGAAATTCATCCGAGTAGAATAATCTTTAAATTGTTTTTGCTATCGACACCGCTACGAATTAATTATTATAAAGCACATAAAAACAGCATTCGACAGTAGCCGAGGTGAGTTCCTAGTTAATTCTAAAGGAATACACTCTACTCACATTTGTGACACACACAGTTTAAATGCAAGTGCACTGGCATTGAATGGGTTTTCCGATACATTGACTAAAACCTTAATTGTGGCCTCTAACCGACAACAAATTGACTCTCATTAGGTCTTTCGTTGATTAAATCTACTATGTGGGGTATACATTGTATTCAATTTGTTACAATTGTAAAAAATGGGGCGTTATATATTTTGAATGTTTTTTTTTTATTTTAACCAGGCAATTTTGTTACTTTTGTGAATGATAACCGAAAGAGTCTTATGGAATATAATAAAATAATAGAAACCTAGAGTGCAAATGCATTTATACATAAAACTAACTTGTGTGAGTATGCATATATATATATATATATATGTATATATATATATATATATTTGTGTATACAATCAGTATTACACTTACTCATGAATGATAAATTCATATTGTGATAATCTTCTTAGCAATAGAATGGTATTTATTATATTGGGTTTCATTTAAATGTCGAAAAATGTCATCATGAATCATGCATTCAAATTTAACTATGTAGACAATTGGAAAATACTAGCTTTTGTTTTCATTAATTTTGCGGTAAATATTTAAATATTACTACGAAAATACAGCTTAGTTTAATTTAAATATTTTGGTGCATATTCTCGCATTAAAACAGAGTTCGCAAAACTACAAAAATACGAATGAACTCTGTTCATTATAAAATGCAAATTAACGCGCATTTTTATGCATAACCTTATTTACGTTTGAAACACCAAAATTCTACTAACTCTTACCTCTTGTCAAGTTAACAACTATACCTAAAATATTTTTTTGTGGGAATTGATAAAAGTAGAAGGAGGCGGATTAATTAGGGGACAATCTGATATATTCTGATGTATAAATCATAACATTACATACATACTTTTGAGAATGAGTGGCCCCAGTGCCTCTTAACGCCAGTCGGAATATGCAAACACTTGACAAAGCGTAAGCAATAGCGGTTTATGCTTGTGGCTAATACTTAAGACTACTTTGAATGTACATGTATAATGCGCAGTCTGAGTGATTGTAATATAATCTGATACTTACATAATATCACTTTTATAAAATATGTTGATAAATGTACACTTTACATTGAAATGAGTATTTGTGTGAAGACTATATTGGTATGTATTGTTTTAGTCAGAGTCAAAATAATAGTCGTATATATATTGTATGAGTTTTGTAAAGCCTGCCCTTCACTTCCAACCAAGTATGGTCCCTGTGTACTTTTAGATTTCACTTGATATTACCACTCGGTCGACTACTAGGAATAAGCTGTGTCATAAACATGGTCGCTAATTCGCCACGATCTTTTTATCGTAATTGAGAGGATGCGGAAATTTAATTTTTATAATAAATAAATAAATAAATAATATTTTATTACAGATTTAGCGCAAAATATTAGATAATTTAATTTGTGAATTGTACATAAACATCAAGTTCAACGTTATTTATGTTACATTTAGCTCTGGGTCTAAGATCTATGTTTTGTCTAATAGCAAGTAGGTGATCAGCCTTCCGTGCCTAACATATGTCATTGCTTTTTGGCCTAAGGGATTCATTCCGGTTTCCTCACGATATTTTCTTTATCAGTACAACTGTTGAATGCGGACATAACCAGAAAGTCCATTGGAGCAGAAAGGAGGTACGCTAGCTGAAGGTCAAAACTGCCATTTCTTTCAAATTTACTTATTATAAATTAATTGTTAATAGTCCTAGTTGTTTCATTAGTCATGGTTCTTTTAATCAATAGTACTTGAAATGCTAAGCGACAATGTTTTGGTTTGAGAAACTAAATATTTGAAAAGATAATTAGTTTATTATATAACACTCATACTATGAAAATCAATGTGTATGTATTGCTATTACAATTATTATATTTACATAATAAAATTTGGCTTGTTGACTATCTGACTAGTATGTAGGACTGAAAGCCCAATATTAACATACGGTGGAACTATTAAAACCAACATGAAATTCACAAAAATAAATCCTATTACCACAGTACATTTAAACGAACCACGAAATGGGGAAAATGCAGTTATCGTACAATCATAGCATGAAATCGGGATTGCGTCAAATCTTTATCCTGGCTAGATAAATCGCTGTCATACGCATCGCTAGCTTATGGCCGAGTTCTATAGATATTCAAAATATGAATCGAGAATGATTTTTTTAATGAAAATTAGTCAAATACGCGTTCTACTAAAAACGACTCCCCAATAAGGATGACAACCTGGATGGTAGAGAGTGCAGTCTAAGTTTTATTGTTGCTTTAGTTAATAAACGAGAATCCTTCTATTACTTTTAAGAATCATAATTTATTTTGATTTCATTTGTTTTGTTATTATTTAATTGTTTCATAGTTTGGAATCATTACTTAACGAATAAAAGTACAAATGTTGTTACGACCAATCAGAGCAGAGCAAATGCCTAGAGTGGTGTGGATGGCGCCATCTTGACTTTGCACAGTACCTTCAGGGACGCAAAACAGTAGTGATGGAGTATTCATTGGAGCATTGTGGTGATGAGACGCTGGACCAAGTTGGGTCGATTGTGTCCTTTCTCATTTTTTCCGATTTCAGCATGTGACTCGCATCTCTGAGCTTATAGGTTGGATCTTCGGCTGAGCATCAATGTTCTTGCGGTCTATATGCGCATTTAACACATGCTCGTATGGTGAAGGAAAACATCATAAGGAAACCGACATGCTTTAGACCCAAAAAGTCAATGGCGTGTGTCAGTTACAGAAGGCTGATCACCCACTTGTCTATTACAAAAAATCACGAAACGAGTACAGAAATCTGAGGCCGAGACCTAGAAGGTTGTAGAGCCACGGGTATAATTTATATGAATAATTAATAAAAGTTAAGGAAAATTAATTTTAATTCAACACACTTGTTATTTGTCTTACCATAATTCTATTAATATGCTCTTGTTGCTCATGTTTTAAATATTCCAATTCGAAATATAAAAATGGAATTACTCTTGTACGCCTTTGTTCAGGAGTTAACAATAACGAGTAGCTGCAAAGGTTTTAAGGCCACATAAGGATAAAATTGTTGCTATTTTTTCTTACAAATGTCACAATACGGTTGCTACATAGCACACAAAAGAATTTGGAAAATACCGACATTTCCGATTTTAATAGTCAGTGATTTGCTTCATTAATAAATTGATGGTCATGTGGAATAATCATAAAAACGAGCAAAATTATGTATGAAAACGTCAAAAATTGAGACAATGCCAATCCTCAAAGTCAACAGTACACTAATTAAGGCTGGTAAACGTCCAATTTCACGCCGGGTGCTTCCCGACGTTATAATTGGTATAAATATTAAAGGGGCCTGTGTAACTTGTGGTAGCTTGGTGTCATTATTGTTATTCGCTAAGGGAATGTTGTTTTAGAGGTAGTGTTTCACATATTGTTTACTTTGTTCCCTTTTGATGAACTAAATATATACTGAGTTGTTATTGTGTAATGAAGTCATATTACCAGAGTTAGTTAAATTGGACCATATAAACCTCCTTTGTCGGACCCAAAAAAGACTATTATATGTATATACGTTTTATCAGCATAATAAATAATTATAAATGACTATAATTTTAGTGTAATTAAAGAAAAAAACATTGGTATTAACTCTATAATTTGCGTTCCTGTTATTTAGGTCATTTAGCTACATTAACAAGTTAAATTGCAGTTCCCATAATAAAAATTAATGTTCTTAAATCGCAGGTTCATCTGTTAACACCTGTATAAAGCGAACTGCGGAAAAACTTTTATAGTTTTCCATCAGGATAGTGTAAATGGCTTTATTTGAAAGTTCCGTAGCTTTGTCTAGGGATAGTTCTGCCACTTTAATCAAAGGCGGTAAAGGAGTAAAAGTTTATATTTAGTTATTGCAGTTGGTGAAGCTCCGTATTTCACGTATTTGGTTTATTTATATTGGTCTTCGGTCAAGAGGAACAAAATAATCGAATTTAACTGTTTCTAACCAGTGGCGCTACCTGATTAGGTCTGGGCTCTGCATCTGTTTCGTGCTCATTTGTTTCCTAATAGAGAAGAAGGATCAGCATTCTGCGCCTGTCACGCACCATCGAATTTTTGGGTTTAAGGCACGCCAGTTCCCTCATGATGTCCGTCACGGTACGAACGAGAGTTAAATTCGCACAGTGAAATCGAAAGTGCACAGCCAGGGTCGTACGTACGACATCAGAGATAAGAGTAGCACTCTAAAACCACTAGGCCAACACTGCTCATTATTTTAACACTAATAATATAATGTAAGCTCTTATACATCATTAAAGACCAAAATAAAGAAATACGAAACGATTGTGCTGTGTAGTCCAAACTGTGTAGACTTGTGACATGGTTTCATGTTATTATGTCCATTTGATCAATCACAATAGAATGCAACGTTTCGTCTTGCCACTTGCCTCTTTCACTGTAGGTACTCAATTTATTCCGCTACATAATACATATCTATCTATCTAGCCTTGTAATGTAAGATGATGATGATGAAACATTTTTTTAATTAATACTCCAACTGAGGTACACTGACGAAGCAATTTTTTCTAAAATATAACTTCGCCATCCCATTAATCTCAATATTTCCGATCAATTTCCTCTGATGACATTAAAAGCTTTCCAACTCAAAACGAGCAAAAATAATAAGTCGATAATCCCTCGATAAGACCATATTTTTCTTGAAAGGTCCAATAATTCTTAGACCTATATTTTTATATATTTTCCGTGATAAATGATTTACTAACAACCTGTTTCCACGTAGATATTTTAACTCTCATTAAACACAGCCTACGTTCACAAAGCTTCTACTGGTTCAGTTCCATTCTCAGAAAATATATGTTTTTGAAGTGAAACTTCTTTGGCGCATGAGGGTAAATTTTTTAAAAAACGTCACGTAGTTGTGCAGCGTTTTTGTCGAAGAAAAGTGAGAGAGCGATTGAGACCGATTGAGAGAGAGTGAGAAGGATGAATCACCTTATAGAAATTTTATTTTTAAAATTAAAATTTCGTAAAGACAATTTATGAAATAAAGTATTTTATATTTGATGCAAAATATTTTATTGAAATCTCAAATGACGAATTGTAAATTGCCACTTGTTTTTAATATCGAAGAAATAAATTAAATTTATAATTTGTATTATTCACTAAATTCCTAACATATCTTCCTTTTTCCTTAGAGTTTTAGATTTGTATAAATATGAACGTGTCTTAAAAATTAGTTTGCCAAAGAATTCTGACGTGTGTACTTTGTACGCACGCACTTTTATTTAATAGTTCGTGTACTAATTGAACGCAAAATTTTGTTATAATCGTAAATAGAAGTAAATTGAGATTCATTACTTCATTTGAGTGAAACTAGTCGAGGAGGGAGAGTTTATGGTACGATTGGTAACATGCCAAGGATATTTAAAATCTCATCGTATTTTTAACTAGGTATTCTATTCAATATGTATTTTTTTTTATTTCAATAAATAATTGTGCCTGATGCCCTTTCGGTATTATCTTGACAGCTTGCATTTGTGTATAATATAAAAAAATCATCACCTCTTTATGAAGAAGCTTCACGTGAAAACTGACCACATCACTGACTGGTTCGCCGTTTTCTGTAACGTAGTAGACGAGTAGAGAGCTAACTGGCGCCATGTCAGCTGTCACGGGGAATCTAAAAAAAACAATTGCCAACGTTAATTTTCAACACATGTTTAGTTAAAAAAACACGATTAATGTACTATGAAATTGTTGATAACGAGTATTAAAACTAATAAACAGATGTCAGTAAGTTATGTAATTAATTAAAACACAAAATGATCCAGCTTCCGATGGATTGTAAAACCTCAACTGAATTTTCGATTTTCAATTTCCCCGAATTCAAAGGTACTGCGTAATTAAATCGAGCAGACTCATCCAGGGCCTATTAATGACCGCTCGTTATGTTTTTAATAACTTCCACGAATAAAATAAAACCTTTTTGGTGACTCAATAAAATATTTATAGTCTAAAATTTTAAACATTTGAATTTAGAATAATATAAAGTGATGCTGCCAATTATTTTGCAATACAAAATGTTTTGTCGCAAACATTTATATCTTCTTAGAAGCAAAATATAGACTGTATACAGGTTCAAATTAAATTATGAAAATTAGGACAGCGAGGTAGTACGTCTAAAAAGATTTTGTTTGAAGTATTTTAATAAAAGTAAGCGTGGGTATGGAGGTTATGAAAGAACAATGTATCTCTATCCAAAATGTAGGGCGCAAGATATGAATAAAACAAGGTTTTGTTAGCTCCACTGTTTTCATAAACGGAAGATGAAATTTTTGGGTTAAACCTTTATATTTCCTTTTTTGTGTATTTTAAAAGTATTTGGAAAGAAAAACAAAGTGTATTTTTATAGTATAATAGATATTGGAATTGGATTTTATAGAAAATAATTGGATAAAAGCCTGGTTATATCTTATTGAGTATTCAAACCATTAAATTACACAAAATAGAATTCGTCGATATAGGCACTCAATTATATATAAAATCTAGCTGACCCGGCAAGCGTTGTTTTGCCATGTATATTATTTCTAGGAAATATTTTTTTAGTTCAATAAAAATAACTATCTTCTATAATAAAAAAGAGGGGTTAATCGTAGAGGGATGATAATAAAGAGTTGTATGTATTTTTTAATGCCACATAATAAAAAATAAAAAATATCCAAAAAATAAAAATTGTGGTGAACACCCCTTATTACTTAGGGGTTTTACATATAGATAGTAGCCGATTCTTAGACTTACTGAATATGCGTAAGAAATTAGACAAGAATCGGTCGAGTCGTTTCGGAGGAGTATGGGAACGAACATTGTGACACGAGAATTTTATATATTAGAAGATATTTCAGCTTGCGTTTACAAATGAGAAGTGATTAAATTTTAGCAATATTTAGATTAGGACAAAAAAGATATAAAAGTGAAATATCAAGACTCTCTGATGGCGACTTTCTGCTAACATTAAAATTTATTTTTCAATAAAATATTTAATCTAAAATTTATCGTTTGATGTATTTATTTTGTATTACAATTACTAATAATTACACTAAAGAGATTACGCTTTGTGTGTGTTCATATGCTGATTAATCATAAAATGCTATAAATATAATTTTAAACCATTTGATAGATATCAGTCATCCATTGAGGTTAGTCCAACTTTGTCCATTACAATGCCAAAATGTTTCCTTAACTTATATTACTTTTAAAGCAATAGTTAAATTGCTTTGTAATTGGACGAAAACTGGTCAATGGATTAAATCCAGGAGAGGATTAAATTAAACTTTAATTTACAAAATATTTAAATCTATTCATCCAAATTAAGATGATAAATTTTAATGTCTCAGGAGAAATTAAAGAACAAGCAAAACAATCATCAAAAAGATGGAACAGTTTGAAAATTTGAAAGTCGAAAAGTAAGATTTTTTTGTCAACAGCATAGAACTGGATCCGACCGACAGAGTGTATTTGCACCAGGTCTTAGTTTGATCAGAGAAATATATAAATTAAAGAAATACAGAGAAAACTGGTCGTGTCCCAAGAAGTCAAAAAACGTATAGCGTCATCATGAATTGCGGTATACATATCTCTAGAATGTTTTTATTAAACCTGAACAGTGTGTTACAATTTTAACAAAGACAGATAACTAACGTGCGTACATTTATTTATTGTTTACGAAACTGATCAAAAACAGAATGCAATCGTAATTACGATAGTTTATTTGATTTATTACCAGAATCGTTTCGTTTATTACGAGTAACAGGAATGTAAATTAGTGTTTAACATAATCATTTTAACATTCAATAAAATTTAATATAAATACACTTGTTTTTGAAAATTGACAACTCTCTAAATATAATTAAAAAAGGAATTTTGTCTAAATGTAATAAATGATATACAATGCACTACTTATATTACTTAAATTAAAATTGTCACACGATTCGCACGTCTTTTTATTCAAATCAAGACCCTCAACTAATTCTCAAGTATAATTCCTTAACATATGGTCCTTCGAGCCGGATTTGAACTAGCGACCTATGCATAAAGTCCACAGTTTTTAATCCTTTCTCTTGTCAAGTAGGTGATCGGTGTTTGTGTCTAACTCAATGATACGATAAGATATGATATGTTGGTATCTTCGCGATTTATATCTTCATCGTGCAAGTATGAATCATTATTGAAAAAAGTCTATTGATTCGACCTCACGAGTTCAGTATTGATAATCGCATGCATAAATGGCTAAACATTTTCATTGATATACATTTTAAATAACCGCGTATTAATATGTTAATATTTTATCGTGTAAAAACTAAATACGAGTTAAATATTTCTCAAATGTATACGCTATAATCCTACATTCATTAAACTATGAATAAAAACATGAAACCAATATGGCGGTCGGTACTGAACAATATTATGGCAGCTTTGATGAATAGCCCCCGGGGGTCATAGCTTACTTGATTGCACGGGTCTGTTCATGTTACAAAAATTTATTTCTGGAATATTACGCGCTATTATATGAAACATTTTTGCATATATGCGTAATGGTATATGTTTTTTTGAGTGTCAAATGCGAAAAAAACTACAAAGAAGCTTTGTTTTTGAGAAAATCTTAACTCTTGTCCTTGGTAAGGATAAAATACGTAAGAAAGTTTTGAAACTTTACTTTTGCGATAATATCTTTTATGCTCGTTATTGTTAATATTTAGTTCTAATAGATAAGGCGACACGTTGGCGCCTATATTTTATAACACGTTGCCTGTTAACATTATAGATCTTCTTATACCTTTCTTGATCTCATATATATTTTTATTTAAACTTAAACTTATACTTATAAACTCCAAGTTTTGACGTTTTATACAAAAGAATCAATTTAATTTAACCCTTTAAAGTAAACGAATTTAACTGCTCTTTCGTCTCTTTCCATTAAATTGTGTACACGTTGCGATGAAAAAAGATTGATTAGTACTTCAGTTAGAACGGTATAATTACACTGATTTATCATTTAAATAATTAACTATTTATTTTTAGGGAAATACAGATTAAAGTAGTTATATATATCCCTTGCTTTCAATATTAACTGAACATCGTAACATTTATAATGTTATAAATTAAATGTTATCAGTAAAAGATTCGGTAGAGAGTTGGATATCTTTTGATTATATGTTACATTTCGACGTTCTTGTTAAATTGTGCTCTTTACAATAATACAAGTATCCTTATAACAATCGAAACCTTTAAAAAGATTTGAACTAATATTTCTGAAAATTGATTCGAGCACGTATTATATAATAATATAAAGCTATTTATTTATTTAATCAAGTTTACCACATCATACATACGAGGAATACTATACATATATGTACGGTATATGTTACAAGCTCTTTTATCTAAAATATATGACAATTTTGTTAAACATAAATGGTACAAAAAATTAAATAAAAATACCAGCAATTCTTGTTAAGCAGAAAAAAAATTACCAGCAAAACAGCGGATTAGCTATGAGATAGGCACTTAACCATGCTTTATTTAAAATTGCTATAGCTATGAATACAATGCAGTCTTAAAAAAACGTTTACATAAACACATAAACGCATTCAGTTCCACAACGGGATAAACAAAGTACATACAAAAACACTATGCAAAATAGGTTTATTTTCTCTGCAAACGAAAAGAGATGCACAAATAAAACTTTTCAGGAAAGCAATTAATGAAGCAAACTGCAGAAAGCTGAATAATTAGTTTCGTATTTCATACTTTTAAATTTAGCTAAGGCCAAAATAAAATATCGTTGCTGTTATGAATATATTAAATTTATTTCTAAGCGTAGTTTTTCTTTATAGTATCATTATATTTCTAATGATTTTTATTACCAAAGAGATACTATTTTTTGTTTTCTTCTAAATGAGGTTCAAATTACGGAATTTTGTATTTATTGTAAATATTTGTATTTGTTTTTTTTAATTCTGTTAGGTACATGATAAATCAATAATTAAAAGCGTAACATGTTATACAATTCAGAAAGATTATACGTATATATTATACAAGCGAACCCTACAGACGTTGTCCTGTACAAACTTCTCAAATTAAAAAAAACATCTTATTGTAAATTTCGAATCTCGAATAGACTTGACCACACAAAACTCATCAAAATCGGTCTAGCCGTTGATGAAGAGTTTAATACCAAACAGAAGATTTATTTTGAATGTGGTAAGCTTATGACGACTCAACTTCGATGACGAGAATATATTATCAATTTATAAATAATTAAACTTTTTAATTATATTTCGACACTTGCATGCTAACTTGGCTGATTGAGAAGATTTTGTAATTCATACATCTTATCTACCTTAAAATGAAGGTTCTATAAATATTTCTTAACACAGATCTTACACGGGTGCTTTTAAGACACTCCGCACATTAACTATCTTTAATTTTGTTCTTTACTATTGTTTGGGCGATGTTTACTGCGTCTATGAAATACATTATCGTTTTCTTATGAGGCTTATCATGAAACGGAAATGCTTCGGAAAATGTACAGAGTACGTATGGGAAATATAATAGAAAATATCAATATTTTAAATACTCTCTTCTTCAACTATATAACGACGTAGAAAAATAGTAAATTGTCTTCAAATAAAATAAGCGAAAAGTTATTTCAAACTTGGATGTTACTTTGTTTATATAGCCACAAAGGATACGACATTCAGACAAAGAAAGATGCGTCGGAAAATTGGAAAGATTCCAGAGACCAAGACGTAATTTTTCAAGCAAAATGAACTACGGAGTTTAAACTTCTAATGTCATTCAAAGATAACTGAGACTTGCGAGAAACTCGATACAAATATAAAACTAAATGGAAAGTACGAAGTATGCCAAGATGTTTTAAACTAGTAAAGACTTTTTTTTTAAGATAATGATTATTGTATTCTTAAATGCAAATGAGAAAACTCTCGATTAAGATAATCACCGTTCTACTTTTTACAGTCTTAATTACAATTTAAAATGTTAGAATGTATCTAGTTTAGTACCAGTCGCCCGGATACAGTAATAATGTATAATACCTATACAATAATAATTATTTACGAAAGAGATATGGAAAAACAATATATTTGTTACTATTTAAAGTCTCCAACTTGTCCTCATGAAATCTTAGAGTAAGACTTAAAAACGACACTTAGCGAGAACTATGATTACTGTGTTATTCCAAATAGCATTGGAGGAACCACACTTAGAGCTAAGTCCCTGTTCTAAGCATCACCCTTAGTGCAAGTATCCCATATTGGATGTGATTTGAATTTTGAGGCGTCGTAAATATTTTTTTAATAAAAAATTAGATACGGAGGATAGGAATTTTATACGGATATATACTCATCAATACGAACAAAATTTCCATATAACCATTACCATAGAAACGAGAACCTCAATTTTTCACGAAGCGCTTAATTACTCGTTATTTATAGCCGCTTTTTATATCGTATAAAGCTAATTATCGAACGCTATAAAATAAAGCGCTTTATGTCCTTCGTTTTCCGTCCTTTTCCTTGCTTTTAGGGTAATTTATAGTGTAATCAACGTTTGAAATACATTAAAATTCCTGATTACGTTACTGCGTTCTTTTTAAATAAATGGAGGTGTTTTTTATTTTTAATGAAGTTGTAATAAACGCGGACGTTTTTATTTTAAAATAATAATGGGTAATATTATATTAATTAATTTTTACTCTATGAATTGTCGACGTTTTTTGTTAATCTGGAGATTCATTCGTAATTGGTAACAACATAATATGTAAATTTTGCATAATATTGTAATAGTTTATATTATTCACTTTCGATTTTGGTTGGGTTATTGCTAATTTATTAGTTGTCATTCTTAAGTTACGTTTATTTTTTTGTGTACGGAGGAGATCGTACATAGCGCATAAGGCATTTTCGTCATATAGTTTTATGAAAACTTCGTCAATATGTGCGAAAAAGTGTAAATAAAAATAAATTATTCAAGTACATTATTAAGTATATATGTGACACTTTACGATGTATAAAGATATCGAGAAGATGTTATGTTGCTCAGACAACAGACCGATACAGTACCTATTAAGTTAAAGCAAATCCCTTTTAATCTCAATTATTGCTTACGTATAGTTAAATCGGCAAAGATCGCTATGGTTCCGTGTAGGTGCTGGTACTGCCGCCCAGTGTACAGCGCGACCTCCGCTTGTAACCGCCGCAAGCAGGCGCTGTCGACAACCACAAGACGACCAAACACTGGCGCTTGCTACTCCTCCAGCCTGTTAATTTTGACAATATTTTTGGTTATTTTACAAGACACAGTATGGCATCAAGAGTAAACTTTTAAAAAAAGTGAGCGAAATTAAAAATTAACGTTTGTCTACGTAAACACAAAATGAAAGATAGAGACAAGTAATTTAGTTAAAACGGTGAAATGAAATAGGTATATCTGTAAATAATACTTTTTTGACAATATTTTCCCGTACATAATATATTGATATGAGAATAATTAAATATAACATCACGTTTTACCGTACAATTTACGGTCAGTAATTATGTTAAAATATGAATAATTAAGAAGAAATCACTATATGATTAACTATGGGAAAGTCTTAAATTTTACTTATTTTTACGAAAAGACCTAAAATAGTAATAACTGCGCCGTAATTGCTGCTCAAAACTATTTCGTGTTGATAAAGTCACGCTGTATATATTTTATGTAATAAAAATTATCTTATAAATTATTCCATAAGCGACGTAGTTTACTAAGCGTACAATAGATAGCGCTAAATAAAAAAATATAAATAAAACATACATTAGATGGCGCTAAAAGATGGTTTGTTAAAATTAAATTTAAAAAAAGGAAACCCAATCGTAGAGAAATCGGGCTGAAAATAAATGTCACCAGTGTCCCACCGGTGTTCATTAAAGATTTTAAAAGTATCGTATTGCGTCATACAAAAAATTCCTAAGAGAAATTCTTTAAAAAAAAGTACTTTTCCACTTGCAAAAAATAATATACGGTATCCTTCAGTTAATAGTCCTATAATTTATAAAAACGTCATTTCTGTTACTCACTTGTATGTAGGCGGCATAGTTGTTAAACTAATAACTTACTTGTAATGGAGTTGGTAAGTTTTCCACAAGCAGATAACACTTAGACGTTGAATTCCAACGACGAATCCGTTCTCGCGCTAGAACGTAGTGAGATTCTATTTCCTTTCCTTCCACCGCTACTAACTCGGCCTGTCAACAAATACACAATTATTTTTAATAGAAACATAGTTTACCGAATCAGAACGTATTTTATTATTGTTAAATATAAACCCTATTATTTAAAAAAATCCTTTTACAATTCGATTCGTGACTAAGTAATGAACTATGCTCATTTACAAATAGCCCATGATTCTATTGTGGAAAAAACAGACATAATTGCTACGAGTGTATAAATAAACTTATTGACGTTATGTTTTACGTTACGTTACGTAACGTAATCAAGCAATCTGATAGTGGTTTTAGGTTTAATGACAAAGAAAATCTGAACGTAGCAACAAGAATAAAGTTCTCGAAGCCACGCTATTAAATTACTATTTTAATGTCGACGAAAACCATTTACAGATAGATTTAATAAAAATAACATGTTTATTGAGATAGACCCTTTCAGCTTATACCTCATAAATATCGGAGCCCTGAGCCGCCTGCTTCTGACTGATATGTCGTTTCATTACATTCGATTTTATTTTTATCGAATTTTCGTTTTCCGAATTCATTTCAATTTTCCTTTGAGTATCCTTTGAGTACTTTAGTGGTAAGCTTATTAATTGAATGTTTTATGAGTTTATTAATATTTTATTTAGAAGCGGCTAATGGAATATTAAAATATAGAACAACATTCTGGATAATATAAAAGCGATATTATATTGGTATTGATAAAATAAATCGAAAATAGTCCGTAATAATTGTGCACAGCTGGTGTGCAGTTTTTGTTCACAGGTAACTACAAATTAGCAAAGATTTAATTAATTTTCCTATAGATCTTTTCGGGAAATTAAAAATGGGTTCACTGTTCTGTCTCGTTAGTTTATTATCTGTTATTTAAACAAATATACAGTATTTACAATTTTCTTAACCTAAATAGTGTTAAATAATATTTAAAAATTAATAAATAGAAAATTAAAACAATTTTAGAAGTTTGGTACTTTAACGCTGGCAGCATTTCCTCGCTGTATTGCGATACTTATTCGTTGAGCGAGGATAGCACCAGCTCTGGAGTCACCGGTTCTATCTACCAGGCGCCAACCTAAATCTTTAATCAGCGCCCGTTCACTTGAAACCCATGGCCCAAGGAAACAAAATCGAAGTTGGAGGAAGGAACTATATTTGAGCCGTTTATTATCTGTTATTAGATGTCGTAGCTAAGTTGTACTTATAGAAATAAGAGAATAAAATATATATATCGCTATTCCGTGGTCGTAACGTTCTTTGACATTAATCGCGTTATAAAATACTAGATATTAAATAAACTATATTGAAATATGGCGCACCCATATCTTTAAATACTTGCCTTGGCTAAAACTTAGGTACATTTCCTCTTATAGTTAAAATTCGTTGTAGAATGTAATTTGTGACATGCAAAAACTTAGCTCGTTCGTTAGTGCAGCATACGTTAATTTTTCGTCAGGTATTCGGTATCTAAATTAAATGTTCTTTTATAATACGCTATTTTAACAGAATTATACTAATTTATTTATGAATTGTTATTAATGGTTGCTAGTATGTGGTAATTATTTGAATAATCATTTTATATTTTTAAAATAGCACGTCATAGATTTGCGGGCTGTTCCGAGATATAAAGCGATGTCGACTATTCGCCAAAGTCAACCATCACGATTCCAGTAGATCACTTAGATCATATTCAATCAGTATTGTCTGACTAAAAATAAACTGCCAGTGTTGCTTGTCAAAGTCAAAGCCCATCGATTTAGTAGAATGGTATCAAAAATATATGGTTTTGGGACTTTTGACGGATGTCTTTAAGATTCTTTAAACTTCCAACTGACGACTTTGTTACGATCAATACAACAAAAGAATACAACAATTGCCAACAACTATCTTTTAATAGTATTAAGATCAAAATGCGGTGTAAACTGGTTTATTATATTGAAGATACAAAGCTCTTCAATGTAGAGCAAGAATTTCTCAATACATTCGAAACATCAAAGTGACGATATCCTTTGTCTTAATCCAGATACGAATCGGGATCGTGTCAAATTCACCGGAAGTAACATCAAAAGGAATCTTTGTATAGAAAATTGCTCAGTGGTCAGTCAGAGGATTGTTTTGTTTTGAAATGTTTTTTATTCATGTGTGCGATTGGAAAATATTTGACGCGTTAGGGAAAAATGATGAGTGTAAATTTTTACGATGCACGCGCACACTGTCACAAAAACTGACACACTGAACAAATGTTCAAATGTCGGTAAAACAGTCTGGGCCGCTAGTTGGATCTTGCTCTGTTTTATCGACCAGTTGCATTGCCTGTCATGGCGTAGTGTTTTTCAGAGTCGTGTTTATTTAAACCAAAATCATGATCGGATACGCCAAAGAAGTATAACTTCTAACGCGTGTATAAGTACACACACTTTTTTTTTATAAAAACCCCTATAAACAATAAATTATTAAAATAGTGACATTTATTTAGCTTATATTAATACTCAATATTATATTACTGATTATATAGTAGTTTACTTACAGTTGGTTACATGCGCACATACAGAGAAATATGCAACGCAATTCAAACCCAAAACCTCAAATTTAAGGGTCTCACGGTTAAGCCACTAGGCCAACACTGCTCAAGGCTGATAATCTACTAGTCAATAAAGAAATCAAATTATCTACTTCAAACCACATAACTTGTATTATATTAATTGAAAGATCGTAATGATAAATCAATTAGTTTGAAGATACAATATTAAGTACATTTAACTTCCAAGCCATTTTCTTCGCACATTAGTGAAACTTTAGCAAAGTTCGGCCCCGAAGCCATTACGAAAATACTTACAGCTCATTGATTTTCCATTGTTTTTCTGCTTTCTTCTATAAAACGCTTATCGTAACGCCTGGTCGTATATATAACGTCTCCATTTGGCAGAGCCAACGAGGGCATAAAATAATAAGAACAACACTTTTCGTAGACAATGTTGCGTAAATATTATGCAAGATACAGAGAAACGATATTTATGATAAGATAGCTAACAGAAAAATATGTTATAGTAATTTTTTCCTGTGTTCAAGAATAGTCCCTTCGTTCGTGTGCTGATATGGAAATCTAAGTGTTAAATAATTGTTCTAAAACTTCCCAGCAATTCGGTTTAGAACGATCAAAATAAATCCCTACAATTAAAACTCGATACATTTTAATTTATTATACATAAAGAATTGAAAGGTTTTAAATTTTCAGAAAAGAAACTCAATGCAAAAAAGCATAATTTTTAGTGCATTTCGGAGTCGGGTGTCTTATTTAAAAGGAATTAATTAAACTGTCAAAGCATCGTAGTTTTATTTGACCTCTCTCCGTACTAGTTGTACTAAAAACGGAACTTTAAAAACACCAAAACTAAAGCCATACAAAAGTGTACCTAAATTAATAACGAGTTCTAAGTTTTGCCACACGTTCGCTTCATTAGTCAAAGTTTATAAAACTGAGCACTGCTTCCGTGAGCCAACTAAAATTGTTGCGAAGTTTTCATTCAGCTAACAATTCTTGTGGTCTCTATTATGCATAACTGCTGCTGCTAATTTATAATTAACTTCGCAACTGTTGTTTGTTCACGTCTATAACATATTAACAGGCCAATGTTAAGTAACAGTATTTGTAATAAACAAATCTGTTTCCCATAATAGAAATAAACTCGGCCCAAATTTAAGAAAATTCTCTTTTGAGTATTACAATTACAGATATATAATACACGTTGAGTTATAAAAATCAAAAAGATCCTAGTTTATATCGAAAATGAAGTGTTATTTAAAAATGTGACAAAGCAAAAACAAGAGTCGTGTTTTACGAGTATTACACACTACTGACATAGGCCTGAAGTGTTACAAACCCGAATTTATTTCAATGTTTACATAAGTTGAGGTTTCGAGTGGTTTTCAGAAATCGTGGTTGGCGAAAGTATTTCAGAGTAGTTTTGTTTGTGTCTGTTTATCTGATTTATCTATTTTTGTACATTTGTCTAATATTGTTTATATCATAAAAACTTCTTAGTAAAACTTTAACAGTGAGAAACACCACCTTATATTATGAACAACTCACAGATGCAAAACATAAGCTATGAAAAGAATACTTTAAATAATTAATATGTCAACATAATAATGATGTCTTCTACTAACAGAGATGTTATTGCATTTTATAAGTAGCCCCGCTATACTCGCGTGATGTTGGCCTTCCTTGATCAACAAAATAACTTTGTCAAAAACCAAAAAGAATCTACTAAGGAACACCCTAATACTACGAAATACACTTAACCTATTTAAAAAAAAACATAAATATCGTCGAACCGTTTCTTAGGAGTGCAACAAGAAACACCCTGACACATATGAAATGAAATAGTTTATTCTTGCAAGTAGGACTATATAAATCACTTTTACAATGTCTTCCTAAACTAGATGAAGTCGACATTTCCTAACTGACTGCCCTGAGAAGAAATGTCGAAACAAACTCGGGGGTCTTAGTCTCTTTTATAGTCCAGATAATACAATAATAAATTAATAAGTTGGTGTAAACAAATGCAGAGTATTTACTGGACTGGTCTTTGGAAGAAAGAACCAGATCGATCTGAGCAAGCCTGCGCCAGCAGACGGCTAGCATGCCCCGAATAGCTCATGCAGCTCAACCATTTTTGAGGGAGCTGCACAACCCGGTACACAACAATACCGCCAGTGGCACCATAAAAATATGTGGGGCAACAACTCACTCAGATCGCCAGCCCAAAATAACTATAGACTAAAATGTATCAAATTATAAATCAAGCAAAAGAGTTTATGATATACCCGCATAATGTTTACACTTACAATGGATACAAAATGTATTTTTAAGGTGTACCTTAAAGCAAGGAAAAATAATGAAATTGAAAAATATAATCGTAATATAAACATTATTCACTTGGCATGTCAAAGTGTAAAATATTGTATGCAAAAGCACAAAACATGTCAGTATTGTAGCAAAAGAAAAAATGAATATGCACTAAGCACAAAACATGTCAGTAATGTAGAGAAAAAAATGTAAAAAAATGAATGTGCACTAAGCACAAACATGTCAATAGAATAAAATAAAATGCATATGCAAAAGCACAAGACATGTCAGATTGTAAATATGTACAACATGCAAAAAAAAAAAAAAAAAGAAGTGAAAGACAGCTTAAAAAAAAACACAAGCGATAGCTGTATAAGCGAGCAGCTCAATCCCAGGCGTTTCTATCATTTAAATAATCGGATATCCTGTAATATCCTTTAGTTAATAATTTTGATTTAATAAAAAATTTAAATTTCTTAAGGGGAAGTTTACGAACATCCATAGGAAGTTTATTGTAAAAGCGTATACATTGACCCATGAACGAGTTGCTTATTCTATGAAGGCGAGTAGCATGAACTGTTAAATTATTTTTGTTCCTAGTATTTCGGGAGTGAAGATCAGACAATTTGACAAAATCCGGTTCGTTTTTGT